TAATCGAAATGTAAATTTTATGGACGTTACAGTACGTACGCGGTTGGAGATATAAACTATGTGAAAAAGCCTTTAAGGTCTGGGAATAAACACCCTTTCCATGCATTATAGTTCTTGAAAGATTAAAAAAAAATGCTATGCACGGTCTATATTCAATCTAATTAAAACATAAATCTCTCATTTCGTTATTCTCATTACGAGCACGCGTGTTAATAGTTATCAAAGGTACCAGGATTATAATTTAATACGCCAGACGCGCGTTTCGTCTACATAAGACTCATCAGTGACGCTCAGATCAAAATAGTTATAAAGCCAAACAAGTACAAAGTTGAAGAGCATTGAGGACCTAAAATTCCAAAAAGTTGTGCCAAATACGGCTAAGGTAATTTATTCCTGGGATAAGAAAATCCTTAGTTTTTCGAAATATTCAAAGTTTTGTAACAGGAAATTTATAAAAATGACCATATAATTGATATTCATGTCAACACCGAAGTGCTGACTACTGGACTATAGTATAATAATATAGATATGAATTTTAACTAGATTAGGTCTATATTTACAATAGCCCATTGATTTGACTTCTGATTAGCACGTAGAACATTGTCAAGGGAGAAATCAACTCTTGAAATATAAATTATGTGAAAAATTGCTTTGTTTAGTGTTCTCATGCTAAGTTAATCTTATTGAAATACCAATCATGTATCCACGATTCGCTTGTAAGCCGGCAAAGCGCGAACACCGGATCTGTATTTTAATGAGATTGAGTATCATTAGGAACCATCATACTAACATAATATATTATGTCCAAGATTTTAGTCAGATTCACAAATACTGAAACAACTGCGTTCTGTTTTTATTACGTAACAATTTACGCATTATATCACAGGCAGTTGTTTCTATCCATGCGAACGGCGACTATCCATATATTGAATTATATGGATAGTCGAACATTTGAATAGATTAGAGGATATTGATCCTCAAAATACTGACAATGTAACTGTCAATAATGTTGTAGATGATTGTATTAATATTATAAGGAATGCGGCAGAACTAGCCAATATGTTTGTTAAAATCAATGATAAAAATGTAAAAAAAAATGTAACTCTCAATCTGTACATCGCCGTAAGAAGTATTTCAATAGTGAATGTTATGTAAAACGTAAAAAGGTCTAAGAAGTATGATTATAGAGCACGTTCAACAATTAATTATGATGATTTGGTATGTAAAAGTAGAGAGTATAAGCAAACTTTGAAAACTCAATTTAAATTAACGAGTTTCAGAAGGCATTCATAAGTAAATTGCGTGGTCTACGTACCACTGATCCTAAGTCTTATTGGTCATTGTTAAACGAGGGTTGTGAGAAAGGTAAAAATGTATCTCAGAAGGTTGCTCTTGATTTATTTTATAACCATTAATTTGAATAATGTAGAAAATGATATTGATGTTGTATTACCAGAGAATATTAGTGAGTACAATGCTGTAATTAATCAGTCTATTTGTGAACAGGAAGTTGTAAATGCAATTAAATCTTTCAAAAATAACAAAGCATGTAGCGATGACATGATACTTAATGAATTTTTGAAACATGTGGCTTGTAAACTTATGCCTGTATTTTTGAAAATATTTAATATTGTATTTGATAGTGGTAATATACCAGACTCATGGTCAAAGGGTTTTATCTGCCCTATTTTTAAAAAGAAAGGTGATCCTGCAAATGCTGACAACTATAGAGGTATTACCAGTCAGGATTCTACTTCGTCAAAATTATCTCCCCATTACGCCAGTTCATTTTTACAATCGTAAAAATGGAAGCCATTGTAGGGATGACGCGCTGCCAATATAGCTCTTGAAAACCAATAAATTTATCCGCATAGCACCATTACGATCCGTACATGCCAGTTGTATTTTAAAAGACAAATGTATCTACTAGCTAATGAGCATCAGTTAATGTACTTGTCTGCATTCAGTCAACTTAAAACTATTGTCTGATCGGTTGTCAGGTGGAATTTTCGAAAATTCATAAACATTTAAAAAAATTCTAATTCAATATTTCGTGGATTAAAAATTTTCAGTGGTTGAAGACTATAAACCCTAGATATCACACACAAAAAATTAAGTTTTTTGGAAGATATGCATTTTTAAGATCCAACTTAAAAGTCTGTCGTCAAGTACTTTTAGTAAAAATTTGCTATTCGAACACACCTACTCTGTTTTTGTGATTCATTAGAAAGGTATTTCACTTGACCTATATATTTAATTTTTTTAGTACTGTGAATTTTCGATGTTATAAAGTCAACCTGTAGCCTTGATATATAAAAATGATAGAATCTGAAGCGAGATGATGTATCAAATACTTTTGCTTTTTACGTTTTCAAGACAAAATATTCAACTCAAACACGCCCTAACATAAAAAGGTGCGCTCGATTTTCTCTTTTCGATACAATTGTTACCCATTTTTTGGAATTTTTTCTTGAGTCACATAATGAAAAGGCAGAAACGAAAATTAAGGAACAAATAGATTGATATGTTCTCCGTCCGTGGTAATTTTTTTTTGAAAAATCGGAGGTTATGCATTTTTTAGATCCAACTTAATAGACACCCATGTCGTCGACCTGATATCTAATTGTTCTACTTAATTATGTAATAGATAAATTGAAAAATTATGCAAATTGTGTTTTTATGATAAAATATTTCGTAATTTAGCCAAAAACTGTCATTTTATTTGTTTCTATTAACTTTTAAAATTTGAGTTACTACAGTAAACATTACAGTAAGCATTTATCGCCTTCTCTAACAAAGAGCTTCGATTCTTTTGTTCTATTTCAACTGGGTTTCCGCCTGTATATTGTTTTACGGTGCAGAAGTTTGGGGGTATGAGAAAAATGATGTTATTGAAATATTGCATTTAGAATTTTGTAAATATATAATGAAAGTTAAAAAATGTACACCTAATTGCATTGTATATGGTGAACTTGGTAGAGTACCAATGTCTGTTAATATTAAGGCAAGAATGGTTGGTTTTTGGAAACGTATTGTTACAGGCAAAAAAAAAAAAAAAAAAATTCTCGTACATTGTATGAAATGCTATATAAACTTGATTCTGGTGATATATATCACTCTAAGTGGTTGAATTGTGTAAAAGATATATTATCTGAATGTGGTTTTATTAATGCCTGGAATAATCAATATATAGATACAAACTGTCAGTTGTCTAAAAATGTGAAACAGTTTACCACAATTTGTTTGTAAATGAATGGAAGGCTCAGATATTTAATACATCAAAATGCTTAAATTATAGAATGTACAAGTCTGAGTTTGGTTTAGAAGATTATTTAACTACATTGCTTTTGATTTAAGAATTAATTTGTGTAAATATAGGTGCAGTAGTCATAGGTTACCTATTGAATGTGGTAGATTTTATAGCATTGATAGATCAGAAAGAATATGTGATTTATGTAACAGAAATGTGCTAGGAGATGAATTTCGTTACATATATATGAATGAACTTTCTTTGATGCTGAACGGTTGAAATTTTTACCAGCAGATATTTGTAAAGTGAAGAATACTATGAGTTTCTCTGATTTAATGAACAGCAAAGATAAATTTGTTCTTGTTGGCTTAGCTAAGTTCTGTAAAATTATAATGTCAGTTTACAAATGATATTTACCTTCCCATTTATTCATGTATTTGTAAATATGTTTGTTCATGCATTATTTCTTATTTGTTATATTGTTGTACTATCATGTCTCGTGTGAGGCCTTTAGTGAAATAAAATGTTTCAATGTTTCTCCCGGTGGATAGAAGAGGGTCTGATGGGGGTCCCTCATTTCAGTGTTCATTAATTTTTAGGCCATTTTTTTTTTCTATTCTTTATACTTTTTGACTATTATTCTCTATTCTTTATATTTTAGCACCTCATTATTTTCTATTTTTTTATTTTTTGGGTCCATTTTTCTCAATTTTGGGCGGCCTAAAACATTATTTTACAAACTTTGTTTATTGAAGAATTGAATGATTCTTTTTAGATTTTATTGGGGAGTAAAAGTTTTGACCGAAGCTGTATCAGACGCGGACCCAGGATTTGATGTTGGGGCGTTATATTCTAAAATTATTTCTTCAAAACACCTGTACCCTTATCCGCCATATCATTTGTGTTTGATAGCTATTTGGTCTCAGTTGATAGTAGTTACATATCTACATGGTGTCTTGTGTAAACTGAGGTGTCTCATTGGTAATCATACTACATCTTCTAATTTTTATATAAATTTTTTTTAGAACTGTTCGTGAACTATAACAGGCTATCTATATCTAACATGAACACAAGTCCCGTTATGCCTGACATCAATTATTAAATGTTAGTGAATTTCGTAATGATGGAAGCACTAGATATTAGACATGATCTGTTACTGGACTGAATCTACTTTTTGATTTATATTCCTGGTTCATCCAGGACATAGGGTTCAAATATACACTAAAAACTAAAGATTGAGTGCTCCGAAATTCGGGTAAGCATATCCTGCTACATTTGAATGGTTTTGGTAAAATATATAATCTTCTATTTTAAACTTGTCAGTATCAGTTTTAAATAAATCAATATTTTACATCAATATGAAATTTATAAAACAAACTTTTAATTCACATTAAATTTAAAATACTATTTAGCGTTTTGTTTTCAAATTTAATGTAAATTATAAGTTAAATAATTCTTAAGGGGAAAAAAAATAGTTTTTACAAAAATGACCATATTAGGAAAGGTAACTCTTTTTCTCTCAATTATAATCAATAATTATTTGCAGGAACATACATTCAATAAACAGTTCTATTCATCCTAAAAATGTGCTGTAATGTTTGAATAAAAATACGGAAATCAAAACAAAAATTATCGAATATATTTTCGATATTATTTTTAAAAGAAATATTGGCAAACAAATATTGATACAGAGTCAGGGATGCCATCATAGTTTAAGCATTTCCAATATATGCAAATTAGGGAGGCCATGTTGAATCGACAAGTGGGACAAGTTCACTTCCTGTGATATGAAAACTTCCTAAATGTTCCAACAGAAGCGTTAAAAATATTGAAATGCCCGAGCAAATAAGCGTCTCGGACTTTCTACAAGAAACATGGGACGACTACAAATCTCCGACGACATCGTCTTTCACGAAAAGGTTGTCGCAGTGTCGAAACACAGTGAACACATTAGAGGAAGTGAGTTGACACAACATATTTATACAACCACAGCCAATATTCTATATTTCACCTTACCAATGAGTGTATACACGGTGCTTGAAATACTATTATCAGTATCGATACAGTGTTCTTGTTAGTATCTGAGGGTCAAGGGGGCACAGACCAATTTTAAATGTTTTTTTTCCCTTCAAAACATACAGAAATTACATTTAGCATCCTTTAAACGACATGCATGGTATATATCTATAAAAGGAGTTGATTTGCCTTGAACAGCAGAAAACTATTCTCCCTTTTCTATACTTACAAAATATAGTTAGTAGGCCAGTCTGTCTTCTGCTTTGCGTATTTTCTTCTGTGTTGGAGAACACATAGCTGGCTGCGTTTTATTTTACGGTTGTCGGTTAAACAATCGTGCACAATGAATAAATTCAGATTTTAAGTGCACCATAACAGTTGCACATGCACAATATTTTAATTTGATACAGGATGTTACAGTTTCTCAGCAGAGATTAGATTATACCTATATAAATGTATACCATCTTTTGGTGTGTATAAAACGCACTCATGCATAGTACACACCCATTTTTCACCCTTGAAGCTAGAGAAAAAAAAGTTTCTTCTTATGCTTTACACGCTGGGAGTTTTTGGAAAAATCTGAACTTGAAACTCAGTAAAATGTGCCCATTGAAAATGATTTCTTTTACACTTACAGAGACACATTGAACCTCAGTCCTGGTTGATTACAGGTTAATGAAAATATTGTTGCAGGATAAATAATTTAGCAAACGATGTTTGATTCTTTATTGTTTCTACAGATGTGGTTGATTGAGAACAACAGGAAGTGTTAAATTGGGAAGTTGTTTATATGCAATGCATAGTCGGTGATTTTTGTATAGAATAAGGATTCATTAGGAATTATTCTTAAATACACAATAAATAAATAAATTGTAATATTTATGTTGATAAATTAGCTCTGAAATAAATATTAATCTCTGCTTATTTTATTTATTGTTTGTTGGTACTAATTGAATTGTTTAATCTTGGTTATCACATTCTTATTGAATATCGAAATTAGGAAGCCTAATCGTTGTCAAAACAAATCAATTGACAGATTAATTTTGTTCCTTAATCAAATCCGTACAGTTTACAAGATTGCATTGACATGTCTGCAATTATAATTTGTATGAAGGTTTTTAAAAAGATGTTACAAAATAAAGATGTGTTTAAAATCATCACTTAATTCAACTTTACAACCATTAAAAGTCACATGACACATGATCACCTGATACTACAAAAGAAAAAAACAATGGCGGTCGCTTTCATCTAATGGGCGTGTTTCATTCAATTTTCATACATTTACCTATTGTATTCCTTGTTAGAACCCATAAAGTAAGTAATAAAGTCGAGAAACGCCTACACTAATTTGGCTTTTGATAGAATCCTTCATCTCTAATTTGGACATGATCAAATGCAACTTCCGGGCGGCAACAGAGAACACAAGAAAATGCAAAAAACAACTACTAAAGCATTTAAATGATTTTTATTTGCATATAACATTACAAATCAGATACAAGAAGGTACAAATATACATGTATGTAAAACACAACAACAATCAAGTTTATGCAACGAAAATATTTTCTCCATACCACATTGGCCACCTGGTTTCTTGATCGGAATTCGGCCTGAAAAAAAGTCTCAAGAACAGTGTAGCCATGTATAATATGCACCCCCTTTTCAGAAATCAATCCCATGGTAAAAACCTGTGTACTATCATGACTATACACACCAAAAAAAGGTATTAAAATTTGTTCATTGATAAAAAACATTCATTATTTAAAACTTGTTCTTCATGCAACTGTTCTTATATTAGTTTTGTATTCAGTGCAGTATCAATTAAATGATTTTTATCCATGAGGATATATAGCAATGTGAGCCTCAATGTATAAATTTAAAAATACACTATTTTAAGATGACTGAAGTATACATTGACAAACACATGAATGACATAAGTGTGTGCTTTACCTAAAAGTTCAGTACACATATACATTTAGGAGAAACCACTTTAATATGTACAGGTTACAAAATATACTTTAACAGGACATTGGTCATGTTGGTGTAGATAAACCTTGATAAATTGTTATGAATAATTTAGTAAGCAGGATTTTTTATCAGACAACACAAAACTCTAGTACTTTCCCAGTGTTTTCCTTAGGAGTTTTTTGCATAATTTGGCCCCCGGGCAATGATTTAGGATCCCATTCTTTACATATCTATTTATCTAATACTATATGGTACATACATGTATAAGCCCCAGTTTATCAAAATTTACGACCACAATCTTTTCAATTAACCCCTATCCCAGAGAAACAGAAAAGGCTGGCAAATTCATATCAACTTTAGCTGATGGAGTTTGAATCTTGATGCCTTGATAAATTTCCTAATTTATGAGCAGGGAATTTTGAATAGGTACATGTTTTAAAACATGTCAGTACGGAAGCACTCACTAATGAGCTAATGATACCCTTGGGTAAACTTGAATTTCATCTACATGCATTATATATTTAGCCAACAAAGAGGAATGCCGTTATGGTATGTTTTTAAAGTATAGTTGTACATACTATTTAACTTGCATTTTTGACAGTTGAATTTTTGCAATTTTAGATATAAATGAGAAAAAGAGCAACTTATATTTTTATTTAAAAGTTGATTGTTCATTTTGTTTGATTTGTTTGAATGAATGGCAAATGGGTCCATAAGGGATGAATGAAGTCTGAGTTGAAGTGAGGACCTCAATCACTTCAAAGACCCTGCAGGAACAGGCCTAATTTTCTCATTTCCTCTTTAATTATTGTATTGAATTACATATAATTCATGTAATTATGCCCTTCAATAATCATATATATTTGCCTTACTTGTGTCTATTTACAGTAATTAGATAAATAACTCAATTATCAAATTAAACAGAAAGAACAAACCAATTTATGCTTTACACAATTTTTTTTTCACTATTGGGGTAATGTATACATGTCCAGCTGACCAAGCTAGAGGAAGTTTTTCAATATTTTCTTCAGAAGCTAGTTGAAGTATCTTGCTATACAGCTTACTTCATGAATGTACATCATGATTTGGCCATGTTTTTTTTTTTTTAATTATACATGTAAATGTTATTAAGTAAAAAAGATACTAGCTAGCTATGTGCACCTTTGCCTTCAAGATTTTAAACTCTACTACTTAAAAAAATTTGGGAAAACATTGGTGTGATTATATGTAGTTATGTAATTGGATGAGGTTCAAAGGTAAAGATCAGACATTTTTATTGTTTGATGTATAGATTTAAAACTGAATGTACTTATAGACTTAAGACTATCAATTACACATGATGTGTGTACCAAATCAACCACTGAATTCATAGTAACTGAGGTACCTTTAAATGATCTTAGATAACTCACAACTGACCTTTTTACAAATTTATGTTTTAAAAGAGTCTTTTTTGTACATGTGATATTGAATTTAAACCAAAATAAAAAATGTCTATGGTCTATTGGTTCAGATTTTTTATTATAAGGATGAAACATATTTATTCTACTCTGTGGTGAAATTTGAGAAAGGCAAAAATATCATTGCTTTCTTCAGGTCCATAAATCTGAAGGTCTTAAATGACCTAAATACTAATTTAAGGGATCCAAATAGAAAATTAAAGCCATAAAGGGTCAAATATTAAATTCAAATAACAACATATTCCACACATTTTAGGTACACATTCAGTTACACAGTGTTTAACTCTACTGTCTTAAATTTATGAATTGGTTTCTCTTTCGGAAGTTTCTTTGGTAGTACAGACAATTCCAGTTATTTGCATAGCCTTTTTGTCGGACAAAATAATTACCATTTTTTTCATTGAAGTAAACATGGTTAACATGGTTAATGTACTAATTCGTACAGGTGATATATTTAATTATGATGGTATGATATTAAACCCCGAACAGGAGGGATTGTGCTTGATTTTCATTTGATGAAGACATAATCTTTCAATCAGTTTAATTTAGGTCTGGAGCTGGCACGTCAGTAACTGCTAGTAGTTACTATATTCCTATTATGAGTTATGTATATGATTTTGTTAATTTATGTTGATCATTGTCATTTTGCTTAGTTTCTTCTGTTACCTATTCAAACATCGGACTCAAACTTCTTTTGAACTGAATTTTACTGCGCATATTGCTGTATTTGTTTATTCCACATTGGCTAGAGATATAGGGGGAGGGTTGAGATCTCACAAAACATGTTTAACCCTGCCGCATTTTTACGCCTGTCCCAAGTCGGGAACTTCTGGCCTTTGTTAGTCGTGTATTTTTTAAAAATTTTGGTTCATTTATATGTTAGAGCTTAGTGTGACATCCATTTTCGCTGAACTAGTATACATTATTGTTTAGGGGCCAGCTGAAGCTGGTCTCCGAGTGCAGGATTTTTTCGCTGTGTTGAAGACCCTTTGGTGGCCCTGGGCTGTTTTCTACTCTTTGATCGGATTGTTGTCTCTTTGACGCATTCCCCGTTTCAATTCTCAAATTTTATTTCACTATATTCCTATTATGAGTTATGTATATGATTTTTAGACTAAGTCCTTGATGAAAAAGACTTAGGAAAATAGAATGGAACATTCAAATTCCTTGACCTTTTGTGGGCTATCATGTTTTGGTTGGTGTATTTTTTTTAAAAGTTTTCAAGATTGATATGATCATGACCATGCATTTTTGTATCTGATCAATGAGTTCTCTGGGTCATCATGGTCATGTGCATGGTTGAATTGCATGACACATCCAGTACATTAACTTAGTCTTGATATACATGATAAAAGTTTATGGTTTTTACAAGTTTTGCTGTAAGTGTTGACATGTAAACAATTGTACAGAATGTAAACAACTGAAATGGCTGAAGTGGTTTTTCTATACAATTGTGATCAGTGAACAGGAAATAAACCCTGTGTGTAAGGAAGTGAGTGAGAAATCCACATGTCACATGTATTTCCTCTAGACAGTGATAAACCTTTTGATTTTTTGATTTTTTTTTTTTTAATAAAATATTGAAATATGATTTATTATAGTATGTCTTCCTTATGATTTTGAAAAATACAAACAGGATTTTGATAAAGAAATCGTTAATACATTGGTTAAAAAAAGGAAGTAATTCATAAATTCAGTAAGCTCCTAAATTAAAAAAAAATGATCCTGGTCAAGTAACATGATAAACTTTGTAATTTTTTACATTCAGTTTCTAAACGTTCGATTTTAAGTAGAGGGAAATTTATTTTTAAAAATCGCATTTTAAATAACTCCAGATGTAGATTTAGGTGAGGGAGGGGGTGGCCCTGGTGGAGCTTTATATGTGGATATTGCAAAGACATTGTATAAGTAATACTCTTATCTTTGCCTTGGTGCCCCTTTTTTTCTTCAAAAATCCTGGACCTTCAACTGAACTCTTAATGGACATTAGATTTATAAATAATTGAAGATTCTGATGATATGGTCCTGATATTTTCTTGTAATATCTTAGTAAGAGGTGACACAACATTTTTTTTATTATTTAAATGAAGTCATCATATTATAATATGAATCTTATAGTTGCAAAATGTGAAACTGCAAATTTGTTCTGGAATAATTTATAATATAAATAGAATGAACCATGCTACCCCTTTGACATGTTTGATAACGATATTTTCCACTCAAGATAGTTAGATTTTCTAACTTTAAAATGTGAGGATATAACAAAATATATTACCTGACAACATTACCCTTTAATAAGTACATGTAGCAGTATTCATCCATTAAATATATTATGGAAGGCAACCTTGTTAAATATTTCTCGATATTATCTATGACAGAATGGGCATTTTGACCACATGAATGCAAGACCTTGATATTGTGTGAGAATAAAGATATATATATATATATTAAATATACATGTACATGCATGATACAGGTACTAATTGGCTTTTGCTGAGGAGAGTTTTTTGGTTGTATGTCATTATATAAGTAACACATAGCTGAGAGGGTGATAGACAGATTGTTACCCCGAGAAAACATTGTCAACTGAGGCGAAGCCAAGGTTGACCATGTCTTTTCAAGGGGTAACAATCTGCTCTATCACCCTCTCAGATATGTGTTATTTAATTTATTATACTGAATGTTCTCTCTTTAAATTTCAAATGCAAAGTAATAAACTATGTAGTCTTATACATAACAACCATCTGTGTTATTAAAGCACACGCTTGAGCAAGCGTCTCCGTGAAGGGTAATAGAGTATTTGCCATGGGATAGAGTAAATTGTCTCCCTCATATTAACCAATCAAAATCTGGCATTTTGACCAAAAGTATAATAAATAAAAATAAGAAGATGTGGTATGATTGCCAATGAGACAACTCTCCACAAGAGATCAAATGACACAGAAATTAACAACTATAGGTCACCGAACGGCCTTCATCAATGAGTAAAACCAATACCGCATAGTCAGCTATAATAGGCCCCGAAACGACAAATATAAAACAATTCAAACGAGAAAACTAAAGGCCCGATTTATGTACAAAATAATGAACGAAAAACAAATATGATATACAGCTACAAACAACAACCACAGAATTACAGGCTCATGACTTGGGGACAGGCACATACAGAATGTGGCAGGGTTAAATATGTTAGCCTTGGTGGCTTAGTGAATAGTATCTGTTCTCTTTTGTACAGCTTGATTTATTCTGTATCATTAAACGTTGGAATTAAAAGCCTGAAACAAGAATCCTTAGATTAGAATTTCACCCATGATTTAATCATTGTAATATTTCTTTTTTTAGAAATTAGATGTAGACAGAAGCAGTGTGTCAAAGATGAAGAAGTCAGTCAAAGCTTTATACAACTCCATCAAAAGTAGGAAATCTTATGTTAGAAATGTTCATTAGAATAAGACAAGTTTGACATAATTAATTGCAAAAACAAAAATCATTTAAAGATAAAATTATTTTAATACAGAAGTGATATATATATATATAGATTTCACCACTGCAACAAGTGTGTTACGATATTTCTCCACTGGAGACAGTTAAAATTTAATATTTAAAGCGCAAGGCTTGCTGAGCTTTTTAAATACTTGAAATTTTAACTGTTGAGAGTGGAGAAATATTCAAAAATTAGAGAAATATATTTCTTTAATTCTTACCCCATTTATCCTTTTCCTGACCTGTTGATTATTTTTATTCAATCATAATGGTTCGTTTGATCTCAGCTCTTTATCAGTCAAAATCCGATTATGATGTCAAATTTTCTTGCTTCCTCTGAAATTCCTATTGTGACATCATGTAAAAAGGCGACCATGCCTGATGATGTCACATAGAAAGAACACCTCTTTTTGTAGGTCGTTCGAAAAAAGGGCTTAAGATTGTCTGCACATCGTCATAAAATCATTAGAGAAAAAGATTCCACCACCATATCTCGTGTAATACAAGCGGCGTTTTAAATTTGAAAATTTTTAACTGTCGTGAGTGGATAAATATCGTATCACACTCAATTCAGTATTAGAATCTGTATGTATACATGTACATGCACCATCTTTTCAATGGGCTGCATTGTTAGAAGAAGCCAAGATTTCTTGTCAAGGATAGCATTTAATACATGTAATAAGTGATTTTATTGTCACTTATTTAAGTTGTTATTGAATCAAAACATAGAAAATGTAAACATACATGTTTGTACATAACATTAAATCAGTCTCTTGGGAGCATGCCTCAAGTGCGTGGTTGGGTCAAAACAAATATTTTAAAATTTGCATTTATTGCTTCTCCCCTAAGCAGGCAGAATTAAGGAGAATAAACAAAAACTGGTTTTCTTGGAGACTGAATAATATGTCCAGGTAGCTATATGTATATATAGAGTGACATAAAATGAGAATGGAAATGGGGAATGTGTCAAAGAGACAACAACCTGACCAAAGAGCAGAAAACAGCCGAAGGCCACCAATGTGTCTTCAACACAGTGAGAAAATCCCGCACCTGGAGGCAGGCTTCAGCTGGCCCCTAAACAAAAATGTGTACTAGTTCAGAGAAAATGGACGTCACACTAAACTCCAAAACATATAAATGAACTAAAATTAAAAAAACATACAAGACTAACAAAGGACAGAGGCTCCTGACTTGGGACAGGTGCAAAAATGTGGGTGGGTTAAACATGTTTTGTGAGATCTCAACCCTCCCCTATACCTCTAGCCAATGTAGAATAAACAAACACACAGCAATACATATCTTCCTATGAACATGGTTAACTTGTTAAACTAAAATTTAAATCCGAATTGCAGTTATTTTTAATGAATAGATTTAAACTTTATATTATACATGTGTAATGTATGCTGTAATGCAACAGTACTATGAACACAGTCCACAGGTACAATTTTGAGAAATCTTGAATTAATGGTGGATGAATTATTCTGATTATATCAAATAATTTTTTTATTATCTATATTTCAGAGCATGTAGAAAATGAAGAAACTTTAGCTGAGAACATTGAACATGTTGGAGAAAGTCAGTTGGAACAAGAACCTTGTGTCGGTAAATATCATACAGTATTTAAATAAATACAATGTACTGGTATTTCATTTTTATGCCTTACCTACGATAGTAGTGGGGCATTATGTTTTATGGCAGGCCTCTACAATAACTTTTTTTTCAACTTGTCCAGTAGGACAAGTACATACCAAAACTTACTTGTCCGAATGAAATTGTAGCTTGTCCAAAAAAATCTTAATAATAACCTTTTTTGCATTTTAAGTTGATTCAAGGAACAAAATGAATTAAAACAATAGAACAGAATTTGATTTAAATCTTTTGAAATACTATTCAAAAATATGAGTCAAATACAACTGAATCTAGTCATGTCACAGGACCTAGGTTCTACATGTAGTTCATCAATGCCAAAGTCTCATCAGATTCTGCACATGAGGCACCGTCTGATAGGGCTGTCAATGTACACTCATTGGATTTGTATCCTGGTTTTTTAAAGTTGAAAAATGTTTATTCATATGCAATCAATAAAAAAAAAAAGATGAGCCTGAGGTATGATTGCCAATGAGACAACTCTCTGCAAGAGACCAAATGACTCATAAATTAACAACTATAGGTCACCCTATTGCAAGTATTGTTTTTTTCTACATATGATCAAGTATGATTTTGTGAATTTAATGGTAAATAATTTTTCATTTTTATCTAAAAAATATTTTTGTTAAAAAAATTACCAGTATGGTATTTATTATAAAGCAACAGAATAAGGTAGGAAAACGAGGTACTGATTTGTCTTGGTCCCGAAATGTCTCCTGCGATGCCAAACTGTCTATTAATCATGTCTATTAAATATGTCTCCTATGGTGCCAAACTGTCTATTAAACATGTTAAACTTGGAGCCGAATAGTTTCTGAGCTTGTGACGAACTGTCTTGTAAAGTTACCTTATCTACAAAGCACATCGCTGATTCGGATCAGAAAGACTGGTTTCCGAGAATAGTATGCATTTTACCTGTTAAAAAGTACCTGACAAAGAACCAGTTTTAAATTATCGATTGCAAGTAAACATGTCTTGTTTTCATCCTCTTTTCTTGTTTTTTGTTTATAATTACTTTGTTCATCAAAGTTGGATTAAATTTATTTTCTGCAGAATAATTTTACTTGTCCCGTCGGACAAGCTTGATATAGTTTTTACTTGTCCGACCCTTTTTCCCTCTGGTACCGGACAATCGGACAAGCGTTATTGTTGAGCCCTGTATGGTCTGTGCTTCTGTCTGTCAATCCCATATCAGGTTGAGGTTTTGGTTTGTTGTGTTAAAGCTTTGATCTTAAGTAGTTTGTGGTCAAAGAAACTTGAAACCTAGTACACATGTTCATTATTAAATGAACTGTTTAATAAATATATAGGTTTATTTAGGATGCCACGAAAGTAAAATGTTGCGATTAAGATTTTAACATTAAAATTGCCATTTTTAAACTCTGCCTTAACCAATTTACATACAGTTTACAATAAAAATAACAGAAACTTTCAAACACATAACTATAGCATGAAAAAAGAAGAGCAAAATGTCTTTTTGGCCATTTTAAAGTTTTTGCCAGGTTTAAAATTTGATGCACATTATGCACACTGGTAAGATAAGAACTTAAGCTTATGATTCAATTGGCCAAGATTTTGCTATAAAATGTTAGTATTAATCCATTTATTTGATCAGAGGTAATAGGTCACTTGAAATTATTGTAAATTAGACCATCTAGAACATTTTTTCATTAAGTATTTTAGCAAAAACCTGATAAAATCATTATTAACACGTTTTAAAGTACTATAAAGTCATCAATTGAACTTTGGAGATTTTCTCAGATTCCATAACAAAAACTGTGAACATTGGCCATATTTTAACTGCAAGATTTACCCTAATCTAATCGATTATTTCCACAAATTAGTGACCATTGATTAATGACCATCGCCAATCTGTAACCCTGGTATCAGGGCAATCAGTAAATGTTCTTTATTAACCTGTGAAAACCCACCTGTCTAATCAGAACAAAATCTACAGCGTGGAAATGGTTGAAAAGTTCTAAAAAAGTGTCACTATGATGTTGACAAGAAAATGATTTTTTTTAAATTAAAATTTATGTCATTTTTGTTACAGATGATGCATTTAACAAATTTTCTACAGTCACCAAAGAATTGTCAGGTTCTATGAATGAATTGGTGAGTAAACAGTTACTATATCTCCATACACGACCATAGATAATGTTTGTGGATATGTGAGAATTTTCTAGTCACCAAAGAATTATTGGGTTCTATGAATGAATTTGTGATTATTTTCTATATCTCCACATTTTTCCTATCGAAGGTCGGTGGTTTTCTCCGGGCACTCCGGCTTCCTCCACCAATAAAAACTGGCTGCCATGAAATAGCCCAAAAGCAGTGCTTAAAAGTGGCGTTAAAAAACCAAAAAATCAAAATCAAATCTATATCTCCACAGATGAAGAATGGGGGGACAGAGTTCAAGAAAAGTGATCATTTAAAAGTTTTGACTACCAAAATTTTGCAGAGGGCCCTTTGGTATTTTTCAGTAGAAATACTTGTGAGAATCAGCAGATTTTTTCAAGGACCATAAGGGGGAAAAAAAATTTTTGAACTCTGTGGGTATGTGGAAATCAGCTTGTCATATAAAAAAGAAGATGTGGTATGATTGCCAATGAGACAACTCTCCACAAGAGACCAAATGACACAGATATCAACAGCTATAGGTCACCATACAGCCTTCAACAATGAGCAAAGCCCATACCGCCATGTCAGTCCATTACAACTGTTCAGTGCTCTCCTGGTAACATGCATGGAAGAGGTTTCCATTTATATCAAGCCAAAAAGTTTTCAATTGGCATATACTGCTTCTCTGCAAAGTCTGTGGCATTTAGAAGCAAGGGCAAAGAGAAAATTGTGTAACAATATGATATCCTGTATTCCTTTGGACTGTCAATGTTTTTTTGGTCACTTGAGCTTCCTCCACTAACAAAAACTGGCTGCCGTAATATAGTCATGTGTGCTAAAAGTGTCATAAAATACCAATAATCAATCAATCCTTTGTACAGTGGTCTGTTACTGTATGAGCTGGCACATAAAAAATCAAACACAGCCTATGGTTCTAGTATAGAACAATATACCGGTTTCTCTTCATATCTAAAGAAATTACAAACCTTTTCACTTCAGTAGAAATTTATGTACAATACACAGGATTCTACAGTATACTTTATTCTTCACTGATATTTTTTTATTTTTTTTGTCTATAAATCATATCTCAAAATTAAAAAAGATGTAACTCCAGATGTATTTTTTCATTATTTTCTTTACAACAGGTTTACACTGTATGTTTTTATGGTATTTAAATGTTTATTACAGGTATCCAAGTTACACAGTATGCTGTTATTTCCTCTTGACACATTCCTCAAAAATGACTTAAAAGGTGTGAAAGGTGACCTGAGGAAACCCTTAGATAAAACCTGGAAAGACTATGAAACTAAATTGTAAGTACTAAGATAAAACCTGGAAAGACCATGAAACTAAATTGTAAGTACTAAGATAAAACCTGGAAAGACTATGAAACTAAATTGTAAGTACTAAGATAAAACCTGGAAAGACTGAAACTAGATTATAAGTACTAAACATTTGTAATGTTGATATATATCATGGTAATTGTATGTATTAGTTAGTAGTGAAATTTTGAGGTTGAAGATTTTCTTGCTTTTTTTTTTGGCCAATTATTTTTCTTCTAATTAACCTAGATTGTTAATATAAGAGAATGGTTGTGTTCAAAATATGATATACTAATGTCTACACTCTACATATTTCCTTTCACCCAGAGTACTGTGGATTCTTAATTTGTGGGTTACCAATTTCCGTGGATTTTGTGGGTGCAGGTGAACTAAGGATTTAAATGTTCAAGGAAGTGTGTATAGACTTGTAGCAGACTTTTGTAAAACCACAAAATCAATTATCTACAAACATACAATTTTTCCTTAATCCACGAAAAATTGATTTCATGTATAAAGATAAAGATGATGATTGGTTTTTTTTTTAAGTTCAAAGATAGAGAAAGAGAAGAGACAATTGGCAAAAGAAGTTGGAATGACAAGGGAGACAATCACAGGAGCAGAGGTACGATTTTTAATAAGGAATGAGTAACAGGTGTTAGGTCACAGAGTAACAATCAGTAAGAAGACTCCTTACATGAAAAATGATAAAACTAATTTGGCATTAAAATAAGAAAGATAATATCATAGGGAACATGTGTACTATGTTTCAAGTTGATTGGACTTCCAACTTCATGAAAAACTACCTTGACCAAAAACTTTAACCTGAAGCGGGACAGACGAACAGACGGATGGACGGAAGAACGGAAGCACAGACCAAAAAACATAATGCCTCTCTACTAACCTAGGTGGGGCATAAAAATCAGTCAGAAGGTACTACAGGAATGCAAATTACCTCCCATCAACATTCGAAACAATATCAAAACTAATTCAGATGCAGAAAGAATTTTCTGATAGTCAATTTATCTACCTGTGTAAACATCTTAATTTTTAGATTTATATTTGGTGGAAGAAAAAAGATATACTTTTGTTTTGCAGATTGCTGAAGAAATGGAAAAAGAAAGAAAAGTATTTCAACTTCAGTTGTGTGAGGTATGGTTAAATATGGGGAAATTTAATGAGGACATGGAATAATAAATATTCTTAATTCCATGGTAGTATATTAGTAAACTTTGAAGTAAAAAAATAACTGGCATAAATGGGAAAATCAAATTATTGAACTAAGTGAAAAATATAACACATTTCTGACATAGGTCGGGTGCATTTAAACACACATGGTACCAAGTGAAGGCACTTTGAAAATGGGTTAACCATTAATAGATAGAGAATATCATATGGTTTTTTAAAAATCACACCCGTATCAACCCGAGACACCAATATAATCTAAAGAGCTATGCTCAAGGGATTATATTGGTTGAGGGTTGATACAGGGTGTGATATTGAAAAGGTCATATCATGTACACTTTATTATATACTTAAAGCAGATATTTTTCCCCGTAAGTTGATGTAACACAGGTTAGGGGTTTGATAAAGCCTTTACAGGCGTGACTGATATCGATGATGTGACGTCAATGAGATTAAGGGGTTTGATAAAGCTTATGTAAGCGTGACTGATGTCAATATCATCATGGATGGTTGATACAACACGATTGTCATTAATTGTATTACACATACAGTTTACCTGTATTTACTACTATGTATATGATAAAGGCAATTATAGAATTTTCTTTTACACTTTCACTGTACAAAAACACCAACCCATGGATAAAATTTGAAAGTGCTTTCCTGAATTTACAGTACATGTCAGCTAAAAATCATTTGATGTTTATTTTAGACGAGCAATGGATGAAAACCATCAACTCAATTATACTTGAAATTGTTTAATTTTCCAAAATTATGAAAAATTGGTTCATTCATAAATAAATGAATTTGCAAATAATAGATTTAAACATTAAAGCCAAGCACAAGGTAGATGCTGATGAATGTATAATAAAGATCTCTGTCTATATTTGGAACAATGATTCCTAAAGCTTACAAACAGAAAGAATCAAATAGTATGGTGAGTTGCATTGTATCATAATAATTGTTCTCTCTCTCCATTTCAGTACTTAATACGAGTGAATGAAATCAAGACAAAGAAAGGTGTGGACTTGCTGCTGCATTTAGTAGACTACTATCGTGCATTGACAATGTAAGTAGGAAATAGATGAACAGTTGTGGATTGTCATTTCAAGACATAATTTTGGCTGAACAAATCACTTTATATTCTTTGATAAATATAATTTTCAGTTTTGTAAAAATGTTAAATATAAAACCTTAAATTCAAATTTTCTTAGGCACAATTCTCGTGACATAGAATAATTTAGAACTTCCAGAAAAATATATACCAATGTTTCCTTGCATTTTCTACTTTAATATTTTATATAATACTTGCAATTAAAAGAATTACAAATCCAAGAATTCAAATATGGAAAAATAAAACACCAAACAACACTGATGTAACACTCTTGTGCTACATACATTTGTGAATTAATGTGTTGTTTGGTAACTCATTGAATATATTTCAGACTTTGTCTCTCGGGACTAATTATTACATAATTCATTGTTCACAAAAAAATGGAATACATAATTACCTGTAGTTTGACTTAATATTTAAATTACCTGCTGTTTCACTTTATATTTACAGGTTCTTCCAAGAAGGACTTAAAACCATTAATCACTTCCAGTCGTTCATAGATAAGCTAGTTCATCAACTAGAGACAATCAAACGCACCCAGAATCAGGAAAGGAATGAGCTTGTCAAACTCAGGGATGCCCTTAAAGGTTCAATGGCATCCTATAAGGAAGTGAGTAGACCAGAATAGAAAGAGGTCAAAATGTGGTGTTACTATATTTAATAGTGATGCTAGGGCTGTTCCAAAATTAAATGTATGGGTTTTGGAAGGTACTATTTCCCCAAGACCCCCATCCATACTATTTTAATTAGAAGTTTAATTTGTTATTGCATGATAACTGTAGACCCATTACATCTATAGTATTTTAAGTAAGTGCCTTCCAACCTCCATATAACTAATTCTGGAATAGCCCTTTGTCAAATTTGGGTAACTAGATAATTTAATAATAAAAGGAGGTATAAATAAAACTTGAATAATCTGTTCTATTTGCCACACAATATAGGAAAAAAAACTTTAGGCTAGATATCCATAGATTGGAATGCAATCTTCTGTTCTTTGGCACATTAAGGGGGTACAGAAAACCTGAGGGAGTTAACTCTTTAAAAATCAGCTGAATGATTTAATCACATACTATTAGTAAAAGAGAATCAAGCTTCTCAAATGATCAAAATTAGTGTCCGTCAAACTGCTATATATCCAATGAAATTATTCATGTAAATTGAGTCGTTCAAATTTCTTGAAATATTTATATTTTCGTCTACAGGTCAAAGTGAATATTTTGTCAAAATTTTATAAAAATTAAACGAGCCAAATCTATTTTAGTCAAAGCGTTGGATGCCCCCTTTATAAGATAAATGTTAATTGAAACCAGAAAAATTTGCACACTCAGGTTGGAAAATCTACCAAAAACTGTAATACATTCTTATGATATGAACTGCATCAGATAGAAATCGACCTTATGCAAGTGCACGTTGACATGTACATGTGTAAGACTATGATTGATTATATAACATTCAAATACTAAATAAAAGATGAATTTTTAACTGCTTTTTAGGGTTCTTATGACAACTCAATTTCCAAACAGTTACAGCTTTCCGTGGAGTTTTTTTTTAACCCGAAATAGGTTTACAGATGTATTCGAATTCATTTGCATAAGGTCGATTTCTATCCGGCGCAGCTCATATCATTAATCTCATTCGACTGTTGCCAAGCTAAACTAACACCATAACATGCACAGACAAATTTAGTTCAATATCAAAATTAAAAACCTTAAAAGCATGATTTATCGAGGAGGTTTAGAATTAGTAAGGTCTGCATGCCTGTAGACTGCTATCTCTACACGATATCTAATCATGTTTTTATAGTATAATTTCTAACTTCTAAAATCTGTCCTTTGCTTTCTAGTTTTTATGAAAAGCTTTTGCTTGTTAAACAAGTAATGATTAAGCTATAGTTTAATCTATAGAGGGAAATGTTCATTCATGCTATTATCAGACAGGCAAAATAGAGAGTTGCCTATAGGCTTGTTACGTTTAAAATACATGGTATTCAGGGATGGCACTTTCTCTATAGATGAATAGATAAACTGCAAAATTCACAGTACTCCATTTTCATAGTGCCATTCTCATATATACCATGTATGTTTAAATGGAAGAAATCTAGCTGTCTGTAGATATCTTTATATTATTTTGTGGTTTATTTTTATTGGGCAAGCAAAACAGGAACTCAACTTTAGGACTGGTAATCTATTGTGTAAAGCTTATTTTATGTTAAAGTGTTGATAGTAGGGGAGCTATGCTAAAAGTTACCTTTTTTAATTATTATATATCAAAATATCTTGCCCCTGTAAAGATACATCTGGTTTTAAATTTTGGATAATATGCCAATTGTTTTGCTTATATTTGCAGAATGCATAATTTTTAAATTAAAAAAAAAATATATATGAGATAAAATAAGTGTTGTCGTAAACAATATTGTTTTGCAACATATCTGATAACTTTCAGAATATAAGTCTTATGTATTATTGCTTCAACTAAGCATAACAGGTTTCGTACCCTCTACTAATCAACACTTTAGATAAATGTATTTATCCTGCAATCAGCTATTTTACTATACTATACATACAAATAAAGATAAAATTATACAATTTATATACAAATGTTGTCTTTGGGCATCCTACATTGTATCTCTGTCATGAAACAAAGATACAATAAAAAAAAAGGTTAAGTCATCGTTGTTTTTTATATCAACATTATGGTTCATATCCGGATAATTTCTTCCAAAAAAATAGAGGCTACAGCTTTAAATTTGAAAAGTTAATATTTTAAGTCCCCGCCAAATTGCAGGATAAAAATACTACAACTGTTATTTGAGAGAAAGTATAAAATATATTGATACTGGTTTAGAAACAGGAGAAAATCTCAATGAGCTTGCTTCACTTACTGTTATAAAGCAAGACTCTTCTTCAAGTTTTTATACTGTTTCTTAACTTTGTACAAATAGATTTTATATTTTTTTTTACAGTGCATGTGTAAAATGTAACGCTTCATTTTTCTTGTACGTTTTTAGTTTGTTTTCCCATGTGTCCTTAAGTTATGATTATTTTTCATGTATCTTATTTGTTTAGTTTCAGTATATTTTATTTCATTTTGACAAAAGGGTAACATTTTGTTTTTGTTTAAAGCCTTTTCATGTGCATTGTGAAGCTATAGCATTGCTTGAAATATGATGTTAAAATATTTCTGCCATTTTTCCAAAATAGATTGCACAAACAAAAGGTATTTTTAAATAGAGTTACATGTATTTGAAGAGGCTTAAATCTTCCATCTTTAAATTGTATATGATTTAGCTTATGTTGGTATTGTAGCTTTTTGATAATGTTGGAATTTCTTTTATGGTGTTTTGTATGTCGGTCTTTTTTTTTTTTTAATATCTTGGTTATAGAAACAAATTATGTTAACATTGAAAAACAAAAATACATCAATAAATTACCTTTACACCAGAACATTTTGATATAATATACAAATCATACATGCATTTTATTTTTGCTTATGATGAACAATAATTTGGCTAAAAAATAGAAAAGAGTTTGCATTTAACAACTTAATAATGCATGCTTCAGAATTGATTATGGTATTTGTGGTTGATGGTCAAAGCATGTTTGGAGATAAAATTTGCAAGAGTAATTTTGTGATTCTGTTTTTGAAAACCTTAAAAAACATCACAATTAACACCCTCTACCACATTTATATTTTTATTTAGAAAATCAAACAGCAATCATTCTTTTAATGGAACAAAATTAACGGTATTACTATGTAGATTCGATACTGTGTTTAGAAATTTTTGCATTAATTAGAGAATTTGATGTGAAAAATTTGATTAGACAAATCTTCTTTAAGATCCATGTGACTAGAACAGGAATCACCAAAAGAATAGTAAATGTAACATATCTACTAAAGGACATGTTTTTATATATATATATATATCAGGAGAACCAACCATGCCAAGAGCAAAAAAAAGAAGACTTGCGCGATAGTGAATACCAAGTATTCACTTATTAAAAATGGCTTACAGATGTTATATCTTAATTTAATGATAAAAAATGTTGATATCATTCCAGCCTGCAGCCAATAAAGTATCAAGTGGGTATTCCCTTCACCAGTTACAAGGCAATAAAATGCATGGTTTTGAGAAGGAGGGAAACCTACTTAAAAAGAGTGAGGGAAGAATGAAGAGAATATGGCAGAAGAGAAAATGTAGGATTGTCAATGGTATAATGTCAATAGGTCATTCTGATGTAAGTAATTAAAATAAAAATATGGAGATGTGGTATCATTACCAGTGAGACCATTACCAATGAGACAACTTTACACCAAAGAGCAAATGACAAGAATGAAAATATACAGGTTACTGTACAACCGTCAACAGACATACCTTACATACCCGTCATTTGGTCTCTGGTTGGATTGACTGATAGATTGGTGTTAAATGCCACTTTCAGCACTATTGTGATATTTCTTTGCAGTCAGTTTTTATTGATGGGGGAAGCCGGAGTGCACGAAAAGAACCACCGACCTTCTGTAGGAAAACTGACAATCCTAGTCAATTAAGATTGGAGTTTAGCTCACCTGCCACGTGCGGGATTCAAACTCACAACCTCATTGTTGACAGGCTACTGATACAGTAGTTCAACTTCTTAGCCCACTCAGCCACCAAGGCCCCTCTCTGGTTGGAAGTTGTCTCATTGTCAAACATACCACATCTTATTTTATATTATGGAAAAATTATTGACATTACTAATGTGAATAGTAAGGCACTGGAAATATGTATAACTCTGCACACAAATCATTAAAGTGTAAATAAAAAGGCAAGTTGGAAAATTAAGAAGTCTTAATACTACTTATGTCCAAATTATATACAATGTACATGTATGTGATAGAGCAAAATGGAAAATGAAGTACCAGTTAAAAAAGGGAAATTAAACCAATGGGCAATCAAGGATAAACAGACAACAGCATGGAAAATGATGTACCAGTTAAAAAAACAGGAGATAAAACCAATGAGCAATCAAAGATAAACAAACAACAGCATGGCAAAAAAATAACCCAGACAAAATGACATAACAAGTGTCCTCAAAACAATACACAGAAATCTAAAGATTGAGTAACATAAACTATACCAAAACTGAGAATTTGTAATTATTACATGTCCATATATCAAATATATGTTACAAAAATTTGGAAGCTTGCTGAAAAAAATCAGAAAAAAGATGAGTAAAATATATAAGAAAATAAAAAGTATGATTTTTAATGATAAAATATCCACAAATTTAAAAAAAGGTTAAACTCTTTATATAAATAAAATAATGTAAATGCTTAAAATGTCCTTATGTATTAGAAAAAAATGTGTGTCTTGTATATTGTAGGAGAGTAAAGACCCGGTGAAACTAAATCTACTTACTTGCCAGGTTAAGGTAGGTATTGATGTCATGTGGCCAACTGGTTTAAAAAAAATGCTTATAAAAAATGATAGGAAATTTTTTTATTTTTTAAGCAGTAAGTAGAAAAAGACACTGTCAAAATCCATGTAATGATACAAAACAAGATATATTTTGGTAACTTGTGTTGGGGGTTCAGCTTATTTATGTGTACCAGTCAAGAACATGTTTAGTGATAGGTTTAAGACCGGGATTTTATACTTACTTCAATTATAAATCATATAATTTTTATTGAAAATTTATATCAAAATCAAATCAAATTAAATACTTCATCAAATCAAATTAGATACTTTATCGTCACTTTAATCATAGAAGATTTGTGACATAATAAACATAAAACATGTATGTAACAAGGATGAAAAACTAAAAAAAGAAACCCAAACATAAGAATGTATAACAGCAAAACGATCTTTTTATATAAAATATAAATAAATTAAGAGTCTGCCGTACTCAGTTCTAAGGCCTACTTCTTAAAGAACATGAAGCCTTTTACTTCTCTTTACTTTGTTAGGCAAAAAGATATTTAATTTTGTCATTTTCATGACATGGATTATAATCTTGTATGTTTTAAAAGACTTTTCCAAATAAATTGCCTCTAAGTTTTGATTTTTTTTTACAATATAAGATTAAATGAGTTTCATCCTCCACAGTATACATTGTATTACAGGATGAACATAGTCTTTTTTCTTAAGGTCATGACTTTTTAAAAGTGTAAAAGATTTGTATTTGTTTCAGAATTTAAAGTCTTACTAAGTATATTAAAACCCTTATCTTTAATTTGCATCTCTAGCAGATATCTCCCTAGCTCTGTTCTCTCTGCTAAGTTTGATGAAGATTTTCTTGTTCCCAGGATATACTTTATTACAAAAAGACAAATGTAGTTTTTGAAAGCATGATTTATCTGAGAAAATAAGAAGGTCTATATTTTGAACCGTGTTTTCCAAAGGAAAAATCTGGTATTTAAAATGGTGAAGTTTGGCAGGCATTCGCATAGAGTGTCAAGTCAAACAAGCCTGAAAGCACCATACATTAGAATACATCAATTGTATTCATACTAGCTGCCCTTTTAGGTTCAGCAATAGTTACCTACAAAATATAGAAAACCAGTTTGCTTTAGAATTGACAGCTCATTTCCTGTTCTTTGATATCTTGGCTCATTGTTGTGCTCTATATTTTGAAACATATGGATTCATTTAAATGATTACTGAATTGTAGGTAGCTATTGTTTTTTAATGCCCCCGGTGCGGCAGAGGGGGCATTAAATGTTACCCTAGTCTGTCTGTCCGTACCTATGTCTCAAAATTAGTTTCCATTCCCTTACTTTAATTTGCCTCAACCAAATGTTCTGAAACTTTTACAGAATGCTCATTACCATAAAACACAGATCAAGTTCAAATTTGGGTGGTGTCACTTTTACAGTCCGTTTATATTGTAATGTGCAAGCAGGGGCATCATCTGTGTCCTCCATTTTTTTTTTACTATAGAGACAAAAAGGCTGCATGCTACTTTAACTGGCAGATTATTTAAAAAACCAGTGTACATTTTAATTGCAAACATCACTTTCCTTGCTTTAAGTTCTTCAGAAGTTTAAACTGAATATCATTAATTTAAACAAGTATTCCAAGAAATAAATATTCTCTAACATTATATTTTGCATAAGACACAACTTATTTATTACGTTGTTGAATTTACTCAACAACATTTTGACTACACCACTATAGGTACTTCTTTAAGCAAACATGAAAATTAAATATAACAATTTTCATATGATAATCTGGTGCAATACCCTACAGGGTAGCCATCATTATTTTAAATTAGCATAGCAACATTGTTGAATCATTGTTTTTAGTCTTATTAATATTTATAGTCAATTTCCACTTGCCACAATATTTTATACATTTTAATGTAATAAAAACTTAAATTTTCAATTTTAAGATGATTTAAATTTGAAAAAGACGTTAAGGTTTGTATATATGTATCATACTGCAGTTTTCAAAAAGATTTAGTTTTTTTTCTTTTTTTTCAGTTAGTTCATGATGATCCTGGTAAAAAGTGTTTTGATCTAGTCTCTCGTAAGTATTCCTTAATGTGTATTTATGTATTTAAGACAGTAAGTAGAAATAAGAAGATGTGGTATGAGTGCCAATGAGACAACTATCAATCCAAGTCACAATGTGTAAAAAGTAAACAATTATGCATAAAATAAACAAATTTAATGAATTACACAAGAGTTTTTATGTTATATCTAAATATGCTCCTTTTTGTCGAGCCTGTGACTTTTGTCACAAAAGCGAGACACAGTGATCCTACATTCCGTCTTCATCGTCGTCGGCGGCGTCCACAAATATTCACTCTGAGGTTAAAGTTTTTCAAATTTTAATAACTTTCTCAAACTACCCTGGATTTGTACCATACTTGGACAGAAGCTTGTTTATAATCATAAGATAGTATTCAAAAGTAAATTTTGTTAAAAAAAAAAATCCTGTTTTTCCTTATTTTACTTATAAATGGACTTAGTTTTTCTGCCAGTTAACATTACATTCACTCTGTGGTTAAAGTTTTCAAAATTTTAATAACTTTCTAAAACTATCCGGGATTTGTATCAAACTTGGACAGAAGCTTGTTTATGATCATAAGATAGTAATCAAAAGTAAATTTTGTAAAAAAAAAATTCCTGTTTTTCAGTATATTACTTATAAATGGACTTAGTTTTTCTTCCATTTAACATTACATACAGTCTGCAGTTAAAGTTTTTAAAACACTTATTAGATTCATAAACCATCCTGGATTCTTACCAAACGTGAACAGAAGCATCTTACATTCAAAAGATAGTATCTAGAGGAAAATTTTTAATAATTATTTCCCCATTTTTGTTGAGCCTGCGACTAACAGCAAAAGTAGGCGAGACACTGGGTTCCGCAGAACCCTTGCAAATTTTTCGTAAAAACGAAGGAACATTTTCCAACCATATTTTCTTTGTTTAGAGCAAAGAAAAAACACAGAATATTTTTTTGGCAGCTATTTACATAATCTCACCAATTATAAATTGTTTCTTGGGTTGCACATACTTTTCTAATCCAAAATTTTCTTTAAAGTTGATGTATGAAAAGGAAAATCATATTTCATATTAGGGCTGTTCCATTAAAACATTCATGGTACCCAGGAAAGGTACTTTAAAAATGGGGTAACCACCTATAGAGGCAAATTGAAATTTCACTTGCATTTCCACTATGCAAAAACATAGATGACATCCACCCATCGCTGGGTCCCATGTATTTCTTTATGAAACAGCCCCTAGCAGAAATTAGGTCCTTTTCAATCTATGTTTAGGCTTTTGAAAATAAAGAGTAAACAGTTTTTACAATCAAATTTAGAACTGTTCCATTGAAAAAAACATGGAATCCAGGGAAAAATTTTTAAAAATGGGGTAACCACCTATACAGGCAATCTTATCTATGGGTGCATGTTTTTGTACAGTGAAAGTGTAAGAGAAATTAAAAAATTCTCTTACACTTTCACTGTACAAAAACATGCACCCATAGATAAGATTTTGAAGTGCCTTCCCTAGGTCCCATGTAGGATTTTATAAAACCACTATTACATGAGTGAGGTATGTAGTTAAATTCAAGAAACTGCAACCAAGAAATATACAGTGCTCCAACTACTGATATCCAGAAGGTACTGCATTGTCTTGACATGTAAGAAAATTTACACAGATAAAGTGTAAAAATTAATATGTTTTGAAACAAAATGCTATAAAGACATGCAAGTAGAATGTATTTTTTTGTCATTATAGAAAACAGAACTTATCATTTCCAAGCTGAGGATGAGGATAGTATGAAAGAGTAAGTGTTAACTGCCAGAGTTTGAGGAGGTTCGCTACTCACGTTTCAAAATAACAAGCTTTTCATAACACTAGTATAAATTGATAGGGGATTATTAAAGGAACCAATAGAGCAACAAAAAAATGTAGGTCAATGTGCTTGTTTTCGAGATATTAGCCATTGAAATTTTGGCGGGAAAATGTTCTCTCTTGATTTTTCATAGCCTTTCAAAGATTTTATAAGACTTTTACTTAAGGCTTATAATTATACATGTAAAAGATTTATCAAAAGAAAAATGGGGGTCAATGGGCAAAATTTTTTAAGGCATTCACATGGATAAAACCAGAGGATTCTGAAAATCTGACAAAAATTCCAAAACATGACAAGCGAACATCCTTAAACTTAAAAATAAGAATAACTGTTATAAATTTTGTGGATTTACCTTCATCAGGAAACACTCATACCTAAACTTTTCAAAGCCAATATAAATAAGATGTGGTATGAGTGCCAATGAGACAACTCTCCATCCAAGTCACAATGTATAAAAAGTTAACAATTATAGGTCAAAGTACGGCCTTCAACACGGAGCCTTTGCTCACACCAAACAGCAAGCTATAAAGGGCTCCAAAATGACTTCACATGCAACCGCTTCCATAACACCAGCTCAGTTACTGTAATGATGACAGACTTAAATTGGATGGAGAGTCACTAATAAACGTGAAAGCTCTCTCACAGGCAAACAACCCATAATTGCAAAATATAAGGACATACACCACAAGCTCTGGGACACATTCTACAGCATCCACACAGTAGGAGCAAAAAACACTGCAGTAAATAGAAATAAGAAGATGTGGTATGAGTGTCAATGAGACAACTCTCCATCCAAGTCACTAATAAACATGTGAAACTCTCTCACAGGCAAACAACCCATAATTGCAAAATGATATATAAAATTGTAGAAATGTTAAGAGCTATATAATTAATAGAGACAAAAAGGAATAGCCAAATTCATAAATGGCCAACTTAAATTTCATTGGCCCTTTTCACAAAAACTGATCATAACTAAGTTATACTGAAATGTTCCTGACTTATGAGTAATTTTGCTCACTAAGATATTTTTTGAAATGAGGCAATGAATTGAAAAAAGATTTCCTAACTATGCCTTTTGTTTTCATGAAGGATAGAATTCTGTGAAATAGTCATTTCATTACTGCTCCAGACAATTTTTAGTAGAAAAGGTGAAACTTCTTGCCTGGATTTTATATTTAGAATGTTGATGTATTGATTGTTGCATGCTAATATGAATCTCCAGTGGCAAATATTTCATGCATATCCTTGACACTTAATACAATACGTAGGTTCCTCCAGATAAGGCAACCGAGATGAATGATGGAAAATTTGGACTACCAGGGTTCTCACTATGAACTTTTGAAGGAGAGTCTTTGGCAATGATGAGTCCAACAGCGAGAAGAAGAAATTGTATTGCCATACATGTATAATTTATTATTTCAGTCGCTATCACAAAATAGAGCACGGAAATGACATCAAATTTAGATTATTCTTAAATTTTGCTATAAAATGATGATGTGAGTGCTCAATTCATACAAAATTTTACAACCTTCATGCATCTTTGGACGAATGATGAGTCCAGACAGATTTTCACGAGTTCAGGACTCATGGACTTGCCCTAGTGAGAACCCTGACAACCACTGGAAAATAAGGGTATATTGGATATGGGCTAGAAATTTTCCTTGCATCATTGCAATAGGCCGCCTAAGGACCTTAGAATTTGTAAACATGCCAGGTAGAAACAAGAGATAATCCACATACATAGGTAGTTTTCTTTTGTATCATATTGACTCTTTCTATTTGTACAGGTGGATATCTGTTTTAAATAATGCCAAAGAACAAGTATTAATGAAAGCTTTTCACGACAACACAAATTCTCCCTGTATAAACCAAAATGTTAAAGAACTGACAGGGAGTATTCTACAAATTGTTAAAAGGTTGCCTGGCAACAACGTCTGCTGTGACTGCAATGCAAAAGGTAAGAAACACATAAAATTCCTTTTGTTAAGTGTACCAAATGCTTTCCAATATAAATACAAGTTAAGTCAAAGGTCAAGATCCAAATTGAATAATGAAAGGTCAGTCACTATATGAATAAAAAATACATAAAAAAATGAAGAAAAATTACTGGTACTCTACACTACAACTAGTCATGGATAGCTCTGAGAATTGACAGATTTTTGTAGTTGCTGGAGCCAAGGGAAGTCAGAGTGCAGCCCATTTAGACTTAAAGTAGATAATTCAAACCTCATTTGATTCCTTATGAATTTTTTCCCACAATAATATATCTTTTATTTATAAAATTTTATATATGGGCTGCCATTTGAGGACCCACAGCCCTTGCAAATTTTTAAAAAGGTTGTCAAATGTCAAAGCTTCAACAACAGATTGCAGTTTAACCAACATCCATTTCCTTAATGAAAATAAAAACAAAGAGGTCAATAAAGAGAACAAATGTGCTAGGTAGCCTAGATCAGTATTAGTATTGACACTGCATAAGTTGGTGATTGCACTGAAATATAAAAAAAAATTGAAATTAACTGTTTATATTGTGTTTACTATAAATATTTGGTACATTCATAAAAATTTGAAATAATGTAATCTATTTAACTGCTAACAATGAAATTACTCAGTACTGTAAAACTAGGTTGAAATAAAGATAAAAGAGGGTCTTGACGGGGGGGTTCTTAAAATCTGTATTCTTGAATTTTTTGGGCCCTTTTTTTTTTTATCTATTCTTTAGTTTTTTGGCCATATTTATTTTCTTTTTATATTTTAGCACAATATTATTCTCTATTCTTTATTTATTTGACCTATTTTTTGCTATTCTATATATTTTTTTTGTCCTTTATTCTGTATTTTTTGTCCTTTATTGTTTTAACTATTCTGTAAACCCCTTCCCAGACCCTCTTTAAAGTGTAATTTGAAAGTTATTTTCCTATTTGATATACTTTTATAATATGTTATACTACTGAGAATTGTTGAAAATATTTTTTAATAAATAATGGCTGTCAATGAATTTAGGTGTATTAATCTGTTTATTTTAATACATTTCAGATCCCGAGTGGCTGTCAACAAATTTAGGTGTATTAATCTGTTTAGAATGCTGTGGTATCCACAGACAGTTAGGTGTACATATTTCTAGAACTCAGAGTATTGTTATAGATGAATTAGGAACCTCACAATTACTGGTATGTACTCTAATCATAATTTGTGAGGGGACAGACCCTTTGGATGGGGGGGACGGGGGTTATACGTGAGCCTACCTCCGGTCCCTTCTCTCCAAACCTTAATGAAAAATTAAGGCAAAGCAGTGTAAACTTTTTGTATAAAACTTTATATTTCAGAAGGTAGAAGACCTGAATGCTTCATGCCTTGCATGCAGATACCTTATGTGACGAAGATTTTGTCTGTCATAAGTCCATTTGTCCTTGACTTCATTTTCATGGTTCAGTGAGTGCTTGAAAAAAAATTAATAGTTTTTTTGTCGAGTGAATTTCTCTCTTATTATGAATAATAGGATAGTTATATTTGGTATATGGGTTCCTTGCAATGTCTACATGTCCATCAGACAGGGTTCACCTGACCTCGACCTCATTTCATTGATCAGTGTTCAAGGTTAAAGTTTAGTGATTAGGTCTGTTTCTCAGATACTATAAGCAGTAGGTCAACTATATGTGGTGTATGGAATGATTGTAAGGGGTACATGTTGGTCTGGCAGATTTCATCTGACCTTGACCTCATTTCCATGGTTCATTGTTCAATTGGTCTATGAGGTTTATCTGTCTTACTTCTTTGGACACCATATCATTGAGTTACCTTTTTGGGGTGCCCTAGGGCAAAATAGTCTCCTTGTGTTCTTATGTTATGAAATATACTAGATTCTCCAGCTGTTTTTTAAGACAATCCTCATTAGTCAAGTGATTAACCATTAAATGAAAAGGCAAGAAGTCTAATTTACCAAAATGTTGTGTTATTTTACTTTTTTTGTTTTAAAGATTCTTTCAAAATCAGCGGAAAATATGTTACCTCTTAAAAGTGTTTAAACAAATTTTGTCTGCTCTATGGTCGGGTTGTTGTCTCTTTGACACATTCCCCATTTCCATTCTCAATTTCCAGGGGTTCAAATTTTCTTTAAATAATGAAAGGTCCAGGACCATTTGAAATTTTAAGTGAAGGGTCCTCCATAAGAAATCAATGGTTGTGTATCAAGCATCAGTGTAAAGAATGGTAGGTCCTTGACTTTTGTAATTTAAAAATGAAAAGTCCTCTCCTAGAAAAGACAGGTCCCGGACCTCAGACCCACACTAATTTGAACCCCTGAATTTCATTATTTAGACATTTTCCAAAAATCTTTGAATATTATGTTAGAAAAACAAAAACACGAAATGTCAGTTCAGGTAAGTTGAAGCATGAAAAATTCAGCTATGTTATGTTACTTGTGAATAGAGGAAATATAAAACAAAAATGTTTAAACATGTATATTATTCTCTCTGATCTTTCATGTAAAGGCAAATCAGATTGTTTTTATCTAACAAATTTAGAAACTTGCATTTTTTTGGGGTCAATATTCTATAGTATGAATCTGAATTTTTACTACTTTATTTTTATTTGAATTTCAGCTGGCCAGAGTGGTAGGGAACCAAAACTTTAATGAAATAGTGGAAGCTAAAGTAGATTCTTCTATGAAACTGAAACCTTCTAGTCCTATGTATGTATAAAATATGAAAATAAGTGTATTTTTATAATGCATAATTAGATGTATCTTTTGCTATTATCTTGGAAGTGGGATATTTTGACTGCTAGGTGAAAAAAGAACACATAATGCCGTTGTTAAGGCTAAAGAAAATTGCTTGAAAATATGAGTTTTGGGGGAACAAAATACCTGTATTCCTCAGGGTTCATATGGCTAGCATTCGTTCTAAATATATCAACTTAAAGTAAGCGTACAATCAAGGCTTTTACAACCCAAAAAATTATAAAAAGAATCATTCAATTCTTATAATTAGATTTTTATGCTTCAATCATGAAATAATATGTTATATGAAGCTTTTCGTTTGCTTTCTTGTGATGTGTCATAGGAAGCACTTGCATTTAATGAGTTCCTCTATGTCTGGGTTGAATAATATGTTTCCAAACAGCAGCAAAATTGATATGCTAAAGAATAAAATTGTGTCCAAAAAATTACTGCAAATGGCAGTCATACAGTTAAAGTGAATAGATATTTATGATTTGGTGAATTTTACATATTTTTACTCCAGTTTGTTATTAGAACATGTACTGAAAAAGGATTTTCTAGAGATCTTAAGATCCACAGTAGACACACAAAACATGATGTTATCATGTAATGATATCATTTTATTCTACAGGGAAGAAAGACTCCATTATATTAAGGCTAAATATGAACAACATAAATATGTAATAATAACCAGCACAGACAAGGAAGACCTTAAACAGGACTTAAAGCAGGCAATAATACAGCAAGATATAGGAGCTTTAATTCAGGTCTATGCAGAGGGAGCTGATCTAATGACAGAACTGCCAGATGATGTAAGTATGGAGGGAGGGTCAAATAACTGCAATACTTGTCAGGTCTAGAGGGTATTTGAACTACTTTAATAATCAGGTCTGATCTATTGATAGAACTGTCAGGTGATGTCAGTATGGAGGAGAGTAATAGAACTGCTATGCTAATCAAGTCGAATCAAATGATAGAACTGCAAGAGGACTAGATAGACTGGTCAAGTTTTATGAAATGTAGTTTTATTTAAAATTTTTTCCAGTTTGCAGAATATAACTTTTAATCTATGTATTTTAATAAACCATTGCAGTTTTTGTCTCGCCTGCGACGAAAGATGCGGAAAGCCAGACATAGGGATTGCTTTTCCTGTAAAAGCGATGGCGGTGGCGTCAACAATTGTTAAGTTTTCTGCTTAAGTTAGTTTGATAGAAACTACTTATGTTAGATCATTGATATTTAATGTAAAGTTGCATAACCATCAGTACATATCATTGCGACGACTATTTGAGGCCCTGCCCCCTAGGTCATGGTCCAGCAACTTTGAATTAACTAGCAATTTTAAATGTTAAGTTTTCTGCTTAAGTTAGTTTGATAGATTAAGTTTTCTGCTTAAGTTAGTTTGATAGAAACTACTTGTGATAGATCATTGACATTTAATATGAAATTGCATTATTATTAGTACATATCAGTTTGACGACTATTTTGAGTCCCTGCCCCCCTAAGTCATGGTCCAGTGACTTTGAATTAACTAGCAGTTTTCAATGTTAAGTTTTCTGCTTAAGTTAATTTGATAGGATCTACTTCTGGTAGATCAATGATATTTAGTATGAAGTTGCATTACTATCAGTACATATCTGTTTGACGACTATTTTGAGGCCCTGCCCCCTAGGTCATGGTCCAGTGACTTTAAATTAATTAGCAATTTTCAATGTTAAGTTTTCTGCTTAAGTCAGTTTAATAAGAACTTCTTGTGAAAGATCAATCATATTTTGAATAAAGATGCATTACTATCAGTACATCTCAGTTTGTCAACCATTTCTAAGCCCTGCCCACAAAATCATGGTCCAGTGAATTTGAATTAATAAGCAATGTTGCTGTCCATCAGATTGTCTTTTTTTTTAATTTCATGCAGACAGGCAAGACATATCTCTGTGTCAACAGTTTATTTGTTCATATATTTCCTTTTGACAGGTTATAAATCATGGAAAGATAGTAAATTCGGTAAAATACAAATGAGGGAAAGGATTTTGTCTACTTGACTGATTCTAGTTGAGTAATAATATAGAGCAAAACCCTTGCCCAAAAGGATATTCACACAGGACGTATGTTTTGTGTTTTCTATTTATTTAAAAAAAAATTGTGTTAGCTGATACATATGCTCTATGTTTATTTGGCTAAAATGTTGCTGAAATTTGTCTTACTTCAAAGTATGAAGAGAATACTGACCTAACAACACTACTCTTATACAATCAAAAGGAAATTCATGTTTGATAAGTGCAAATAGAGGTGTCAAAGAATCTTGAATTATTAACAAAAGTACCCTTGGTCATAGATTGGGATCCTGGCTCACTGCTCAACAGTAGAGCCAGGCAGAATACAACGACATGGTTTTGTCAATTGGATGTTAGAATGATGCATCGTGGGATAGCGTCATTTCTTGACACATGGCGGGAAATATTTATATTGTCAGGAATTCATTGAAAATTATTTTTCATTTCATATGAAATGCAAATTTTGAAAAATTTAGCATATATAATTCAAATGTTATTGATTAACATAGTCAATCAACTGTTAATTAACGATCCTATCGATATATTCCTTGTTTATAAAACATGCACATGCGCAGTAATTCAATCCTGTTCAGCGCTGATATTTGGCCACGTGGATTGTATTATGCCTGGTCCTATCGACGAAGTATTAGATTGGGTCAGGATGCCAGGCTACATTGGTCATATCATGTCATTGGTCTTATTATCTAAGAGGAAATGGAAATTTCATTGAATTTTGTAAGTGGTCAATGGGAAAAGAAAAATGTGTTTTGGGAGAATTTATTAATGTAGTTCTATTATTTTTGAAATTCATAGCCATGATTTAACAAAACAAGAAATTTAATTATTACTATGTCTTTTCAGGAAAATTCAGGGACAGCACTTCACTTAGCAATAGAGAAAGAAGATGGGTACTCATTGCATATCGTAGACTTCATTGTACAGAATAGTCATTTGTAAGTTAATATCGTAGACTTCATTGCACAGAATAATCATTTGTAAGTTAATAACATAGACTTTATTGCACAGAATAGTTATTTGTAAGTTAATAACGTAGACTTTATTGCACAGAATAGTCATTTGTAAGTTAATAACGTAGACTTTATTGCACAGAATAGTCATTTGTAAGTTAATAACGTAGACTTTATTGCACAGAATAGTCATTTGTAAGTTAATGATGTAGACTTTATTGCACAGAATAGTCATTTGTAAGTTAATAACTGAGACTTCAATATACAGAATAGTCATTTGTAAGTTAATAACGTAGACTATATTGCACAGAATAGTCATTTGTAAGTTAATAACGTAGACTTTATTGCACAGAATAGTCATTTGTAAGTTAATAACGTAGACTTCAATGCACAGAATAGTCATATGTAAGTTAATAACATAGACTTCATTGCAATGAATAGTCATTTGTAAGTTAATAACGTAGTCTTCATTGCAATGAATAGTCATTTGTAAGTTAATAATGTAGACTTTATTGCACAGAATAGTCATTTGTAAGTTAATAACTGAGACTTCAATGCACAGAATAGTCATTTGTAAGTTAATAACGTAGACTTCAATGCACAGAATAGTCATATGTAAGTTAATAACGTAGACTTCATTGCAATGAATAGTCATTTGTAAGTTAATAACGTAGACTTTATTGCACAGAATAGTCATTTGTAAGTTAATAACTGAGACTTCAATGCACAGAATAGTCATTTGTAAGTTAATGATGTAGACTTTATTGCACAGAATAGTCATTTGTAAGTTAATAACGTAGACTTTATTGCACAGAATAGTCATTTGTAAGTTAATAACGTAGACTTCAATGCACAGAATAGTCATTTGTAAGTTAATAACGTAGACTTCATTGCAATGAATAGTCATTTGTAAGTTAATAACGTAGACTTTATTGCACAGAATAGTCATATGTAAGTTAATAACGTGGACTTCAATGCACAGAATAGTCATATGTAAGATAATAACGTAGACTTCATTGCAATGAATAGTCATTTGTAAGTTAATAACGTAGTCTTCATTGCAATGAATAGTCATTTGTAAGTTAATAACGTAGACTTCATTGTACAGAATAGTCATTTGTAAGTTAATAACGTAGACTTAATTTCACAGAATAATCATTTGTAAGTTAATAACGTAGACTTTATTGTACAGAATAGTCATTTGTAAGTTAATAACGTAGACTTTATTGCACAGAATAGTCATATGTAAGTTAATAACGTAGACTTCATGATACAGAATAGTCATTTGTAAGTTAATAACGTAGACTTAATTTCACAGAATAATCATTTGTAAGTTAATAACGTAGACTTCATTGCACAGAATAGTCATTCGGCTGTTGTCTGCTCTTTGGTCGGGTTGTTGTCTTTTTGACATATTCCCCATTTCCATTCTCAATTTTATTAATAAGCTCATCAGGAAATAAAGCACATTTTAGATTACTTTTAGATTTTGGAACAAGATATTTTAGTTGCACCAATTGAATTGTCTTCATATTTAATGTAATATTCAATGTGCAATTGAAATCCAGGAGGCTGGTACATTTTTTTTTCTTTAGAAGTCTGTAAATATCAAAAAACTACAAACTCACATTTCTTTTTCTTTTTCAGAGCTAGTTTAGGTCATAAAAACAAACAAGGCAATACCGTTTTACATTTGTGTTCATTGTTAAATAAAACCGAGTGTATGAAACTGATTCTACGCACCCAGCCTGAGCTTGCCAATGTAGAAAACAACGATAGTCAGACACCACTGGATATTGCTAAGGAGAATAATCACGAGAATTGTATTGATTTGGTAATTATAATTGACAATAACTATTTCTATACTGTTTTTATACGACCGCAAAAAAATTTTGTGGTCGTATATTGGTATGACGTTGGCGTCGTCGTCGTCGTCGTCGTCGTCGTCGTCGTCGTCCGGCGTCGTCGTCGTCGTCCGGCGTCGTCGTCCGAATACATATTGGTTTTCGCACTCTAACTTTAGTTTAAGTGAATGGATCTTTTTGAAATTTGACCATAAGGTTAAATACCACAAAAGGAAGGTTGGGATTGATTTTGGGGGTTATGGTACCAACAGTTAAGGAATTAGGGGCCAAAAAGGGGCCAAAAATGAGCATTTTCTAGTTTCCAGACAATAACTGTGGAACGGTGTATGGATCTCTCTGAAATTATACTACAAGTTTCCATACCACAAAGGGATGGTAAGGATTTGCTTTGGGGGGTTATGGCTCAAACCGTTTAGGAATTAGGGGCAAAAAAGGGGGAAAAACCAGGTTGTCCTGGTTAATGGACAAATACTATAGTACAAAACATAATTTAAAGCAGTGTAAGGGAGATAAATCAAATACATCATTGAAATTATCTCCCTTACACTGCTTTTAAATTATGTATAAAGTAATGGTTAATGAACAATAAAGATAATCTAAAACAGTGTAAGGGAGGTAATCCAAATACAACGTTTTGGTTACTTCCCTTACACTGCTTTTAAATTATGTTTAAAGAAATGCATATTTATAAAGGAAGACCAGTAAAAATATCTGCAAATGTTTTCATCTTTTTTTTTTACAAAAAAATCCATATGAAAGATTTGACACTATATTTTTATTAATTCTATTATAAAATAGATTAAGTTAGCACTATGGTAAATTTAAATGGGTAATTATGGTTGCCAACTCCATTGGAAATTTGAATTGAGATTATGACCATATCTTGAGGGAAAGAATTTTTTTGGGGGAAAAAGGGGGGGGGGGGGATAAAAAGAAATTGTGGGGGGCCAATTTTTTCTCATTTCAGATTTCAGAAATTAAAAAGAATTATTCTTCAAATATTATTTTTTTTTCAAATTTCAAATATTGAAAAATTTCAAGAAGTAATCTTTAATTGCACAGTATGGCGCATTAGATTTGTAAAATCTTTGATCACATTTATTTATTTGTTATGCCGAATCTAACAGTGTATTTAGATTTTTAATTTTGGTTCCAGTTTTCAAATTGGTCTACATTAATGTCCAAAGGGTCCAAAATTAAACTTTGTTTGATTTTAGCAAAAATTGAATATATGAGGTTTTGATATGCTGAATCTAAACATGTATTTAGATTTTTGATTTTTGGCCCAGTTTTCAAGTTGGTCCAAATTGGGGTCCAAAATTAAACTTTGTTTGATTTCAACAAAAATTGAATATATGGGGTTCTTTGATATGCTGAATCTAACCATGTATTTAGATTTTTTATTTGTGGACCCCGTTATCTAATTGGTTCATATTGAGGTCAAAAGGGTCCAAAATTAAACTTTGTTTGATTTCATCGAAAATTGAATTATTGGGGTTCTTTGATATTCCAAATCTAACCGTGTATTTAGGTTTTTAATTTTGGGTCCTGTTTTTTAAATTGGTCTACATTGAGGTCCAAAGGGTCCAAAATTAAACTTAGTTTGATTTTGACAAAAATTGAATTCTTGGGGTTCTTTGATTTGCTGAATCTAAACATGTGTTTAGATTTTTGATTATGGGCCCAGTTTTCAAGTTGGTCCAAGATAGGGCCCAGTATTTAAACTTTGTTTGATTTCAACAAAAATTGAATATATGGGGTTCTTTGATATGCTGAATCTAAACATGTATTTAGATTTTTGATTATGGGCCCAGTTTTCAAGTTGGTCCAAATTGGGGTCCAAAATTAAACTTTGTTTGATTTCAACAAAAATTGAATATATGAGGTTCTTTGATATGCTGAATCTAACCATGTATTTAGATTTTTTATTTGTAGGCCCCGCTATCAAATTGGTTCATATTGAGGTCAAAAGGGTCCAAAATTAAACTTTGTTTGATTTCATCGAAAATTGAATTATTGGGGTTCTTTGATATGCCAAATCTAACCGTGTTTTTAGATTTTTAATTTGGGTCCCGTTTTTTAAATTGGTCTTCATTGAGGTCCAAAGGGTCCAAAATTAAACTTAGTTTGATTTTAACAAAAATTGAATTCTTGGGGTTCTTTGATATGCTGAATCTAAACATGTGTTTAGATTTATGATTATGGGCCCAGTTTTCAAGTTGGTCCAAGTTGGGGTCCCAAATTAAACTTTTTTTGATTTCAACAAAAATTGAATATATGGGGTTCTTTGATATGCTGAATCTAACCATGAATTTATATTTTTTATTTGTGGGCCCCGCTATCAAATTGGTTCATATTGAGGTCAAAAGGGTCCAAAATTAAACTTTGTTTGATTTCATCAAAAATTGAATTATTGGGGTTCTTTGATATTCCAAACCTAACCGTGTATTTAGATTTTTAATTTTAAGTCCCGTTTTTTAAATTGGTCTACATTAAGGTCCAAAGGGTCCAAAATTAAACTTAGTTTGATTTTAGCAAAAATTGAATTCTTGGGGTTCTTTGATATGCTGAATCTAAACATGTGTTTAGATTTTTCATTATGGGCCCAGTTTTCAAGTTTGTCCAAGTTGGGGTCCAAAATTAAACTTTGTTTGATTTTAACAAAAATTGAATATATGGGGTTCTTTGATATGCTGAATCTAACCATGTATTTTGATTTTGGACATTGGACCATAATAGGTAAATTAAAAAAAATCAAGTTCTTAGACCACATTCTTTCTGTGTCAGAAACCTATGCTGTGTCAAATATTTAATAACAATCCAAATTCAGAGCTGTATCAAGCTTGAATGTTGTGTCCATACTTGCCCCAACTGTTCAGGGTTCGACCTCTGCGGTCGTATCAAGCTGCGCCCCAGCGAAGCATTTTATTTTTTATGCCCCACCTACGATAGTAGTAGGGGCATTATGTTTTTTGGTCTGTGCGTCCTTTCATTTGTTTGTTCGTCCATTTGTTCATCCGTCCATTTGTCTGTCTGTCCCGTGTCATGTTTAAGTTTTTGTCGAGGTAGTTTTTGATGAAGTTGAAGTCCAATCAACTTGAAACTTAGTACACATGTTCCCTATGATATGATCTTTCTAATTGTAATGCCAAATTAGAATTTTGACCCCAATTTCACGGTCCACTGAACATAGAAAATGATAGTGCGAGTGGGGCATCCGTGTACTATGGACACATTCTTGTTCTTGTGGAATTGATAAATTATCTCTATGGACTGTTATTATTAACAGTTTTACATTTTTAAAAGATGTCATTAATTTTGTGACTTGCATATACTGTGATAAAAACTGCTTTGTAAACTTCATTGATTGCAGTAATCTTTTAAATTATGGATCCTTTAATTTCTTGGGTTCCAATTTTTATGTATTGAGGGAAAACAATCCTATTTCTTATTGAGTACGTACATTTTCATAACTTGGGACTCCAGAAAGGCACTTCAAAAGCTAAAATATGGTTGAATATCAAATAATTTGTATGTGCCGTGTAGATGTAAGTGAAAATTTGAAATTATCTATATAGTTACCTAAATTTCGTCACCTTTCCTATGTTTTGTATGTGCTTTAATGGAACAGCCCTTTGTAACTTTATTTGGTATTTTTTTGAGAATTTTGCATACAGCTGTAATCAGAACATTGCTGACTTGAATTATTGGTTTTAGATATTTAAAGAATATGTAGGTTAGACAGAATTTTTCCCGTTTTAAGGTAGTACCCAACACCTTGACTTAAATTAATTTGGCTCGTTTAATTTTCATAAAATTTTGACAAAATATTTACTTTGACCCTTTGAAAAAAATATAAAAATTTCAAAAAACTTGAACCAATCACTTTCTCGGAAAAATTTCATTGGATATATAGCAGTTTGACAAACACTAATTTTAATCATTGAGAAGCTTAATATTTCCTTAACAATACAACGTAATTAAAACGTTTAGCTGATTTTACAGAGTTATCTCCCTGTAGTGCTAGGTACCACCTTAATGACTGCATTTACTGGTGAATCGTGGATCACTTTATTGTTGAAGATTTTTCATGTCACAGTACATTTGTACATTTTATTCTACAGAGAAAAATCCATATCAAAATGAATGTCCAGGAATCCATTTATTCATAACCTAATGAAACGTGATAATATGTTTTCACACACTTTTGTTAACATTACATTGATGAATGGCTGCTTAACGTCCAGTGGCAAATTAATATGCATATTCAAGGCAAGAACATGTTAATTTAATATGAATATTAACACATCCTTGTACTAGACCGACCAGATATTTAACGTCCTAGTTCACAAGGTAACAGTCCACAGGAAGACCTGTCATCTTACCCAGACATATCATTCTGACTCCAAGTCTATGCTCTTACTCCTTAATGCTGTGTGCTTAGCAGAGAAGCAGCAAATACCAATTTTAAAGTCTTTGGTTTGACTTGGCCGGGGTTCAAACCCAAGAACTCTCGCTTTCGAGGCAAACATGCTACCATGACACCACTGAAACATTACATTCTGACAATAATAGAAATCTATTTATATGTGTATTGTGGCCTTGTGCTGTTTTTTGCTCTTTGGTCGGGTTGTTGTCTGTTTGACACATTCACTATTTCCATTCTCTATTCTATTCTATTCCAGTTGAAAGCAGCTTTACAAGGCAGGAAGGATGTGTTTGGCAATGTCAATGTTGACTGGGATCTAACATATGTAAGTTTTTTATATTTGATTACCGTCTTTAGGTGTGTATAGTACACATTTTTATACGCCCGTTTACAGTTTTCAGACAATAACTCAAAAACAATTTCACCAATTTGCAAGAAACTTGGGTGAATTGTTTATTTATATCGACATGAGCTCCCTTTTGATTTTTATAAATTTCAGAATATATGTTTATGGGGTTTTATTCATAACAAAAAGGGGGATTTTCCAGTTTTCGGACAATAACTCAAAAATGCTTTCAGCATATTTTATGAGACTTTGGTAAATTGTTTATATCTATTTTTGTAAGCTCCCTTTTGATTTTTATAAATTTTCGATTTTACATTTCAGAGTTATAAGATTTTACTTGTTTATAGTCTGACAACAGAAGTATTGCGCAACAGCACAGTGTATTGCACAACAGCAAGAAATCTTTCATATAATCAATTTCAAGTTCTTTGACTACATTTATTCAAAAACCTATAATATATCAAATATTTAATTACAATCCAAATTCAGACCGGTATCAAGCTTGAATGTTGTGTCCATTTTTGCCCCAACTGTTCAGGGTTGGACCTCTGCGGGCGTATCCAGCTGCGCTCAGCGAAGCAGTTTATTATACATGTGTAAGGCTAAGTAGTTGTTATGTGATATGCAACTTTTTTATATGCTTTTCTCTAAAATGCGTGTAAATTTAGCTGTGATCATTTATGGAAATGTAAAGAAATGTGCACTAATTAAAAAGTTGTATTCATACAGTGAGAAAAATACTAAGGAACTTATTTCTTTTAATATATTTTGCATGTTTCCTAAACATATTGGCCTCATGGTAACTGGAATTTTACCAAGCTTTCAATTTACAGGATATTTTTCTTAGTCTTTAATTTTTGTGTTAAGGTGGCACAAAGCAAACCTCTGACCTGTTCTATATTTATATTTTACAGGAAGAACATTTTGGTGAAGACCAAGGCTACAGTGATGATGATCTTGAGGTAAGTAATGATTTAAGCCTGTATTTTCAAGGAAAGATTTTAAATGAAAATTATTATACATGTATATACCCATATTATTACAGCCTTTTGTCATCATAGGCTATTTCCTAGTATCGATAAACCTGAAAATCATAAACGGCATTTTCTTAAATTAAAATATATAAATAGAGGTATTGATTTTATTAACTTATCTAGTATATTCAATGACTCTACCATCCAAAGCCAAATACCTCCATATTTTGATAATATAGAACCACCTATTATTTCATATTCTTATAAAAAAAACCAGCAGAAGTTTGATTTTTAATTATACATCAGTTACATCAGACGTCAGTATAGAAAATAATGTTCCTTCCTCTTGAGATTGTGAAACATCTAGTTTTAGATATGTTCCCTATGGTCATGTCCTTACAGGAGACCTCAACATCGTCGAAGACCGTGAGGTCATAACTTTTCTTAAGAAAGGACCGAAATATCGTCCTCCATCTAAAATAGATTGGAAACAGTGTCGTCAGATCATTAAAGACGCTCTCTCTGTCTACTGTAAAAATTGGTGTAAACGTGAAAAATCTGATAAAAAATCTCTAGACAGTTATTTGAATAAAATTATGAATACTGTTAATATTCGTATATTTATTTTGAAAACAATTCTGAAATTAGTAATAGGGTCCATGATCAGTCAGAGATATAACTCTATAGGGTTATTACAGAAAATAACTTGCGTGTGTTATTACAGATACTTTCATGAGTTGTCTACTCTTTATTCCTTAAATTTTCTAAATCTGTAATAACATATGTTTGTTATTTGTAAAATTATTTCATTTATAGTGGCCTCTAGGGATCTCTTTAGACTTTGCGCAGAAACTAAATGCATAGCCTTGATAACTAATTTTTTAATTAAATTAATACATTTTTTATTAACCATGGTAAATCAATGAGACGAGGCTATTAAGGGATAAACTTAGCTGTGATAACAAGGCTCAGTTATTAAAGGAATTTAACTTATTATATAAGACACTTGGGAATTACTGAGAAACTTGCGCAGAACCTCATTACATGCTCTGGTCATTATTTCTTTCAATAAATTAAAATACATTGTAATTAAGCATGATGTATGTCTGAGCAAATGCTTTGAAGTGATATAGAGAAGCTGTGATAACACCCTTTAGTTATTACAGGCATATTTTTTCTGTAATAACATATAGGTGTACTATGCAAAATTGGCAAACTATGAACTGTTATATCTTTCAATAGTTAAGTATACATATAGACAAAAGTAATATCAATAGAACTTTTAAACATTTTAACTAAACTAATGATGTATATTGTCCCTTTGAAACATATAACATACATAAGTTATCACAGTTCTTTGATTTTTTAGTCCATAATAACAAATGTATGTTATTTTTCTGTAATAACCCTATAGAGTTATATCCCTGACTGATGATATTCAGAATAAAAAATAAACTCCAAGTACTCGCAAAGCGGTTTGTGTTCGTACCGGCAGACAAAGCAGCAAATAATGTAGTGGTGGTGTGACGCATATACTACAAGGAAGTTCTCCAAAACGAAATTACAAATTCATCTACATTCAGGTCCGTATGCTCCACAGAGAGTCAAATTGTAAACAAGCATATCACTGCCACTACCGAGCTTAAGGCCTCATCCAAACATTTGAAAGTCCCTACTATGTACTGGTTACCTAAATTGCACAAAAAACCATTTAAATTCCGTTTCATCTCCGCATCGAGTAAGTGTTCTACTACTAATCTATCAGTGCTTCTAACTACCTCCCTTACTACTATCAAAGAACTTGTTATTAACTTTTGTAATAAAGCTTATGAAAATAATGGTATTAATTAAGTCTCCCAAACGAAGTTTGGGAAGACTTATTGTTTTTGCTCAGTTCTTATTATTATTATTATTATTCTTCTTCTTCTTCTTCTTCTTCCTCTTCCGCCGCTTTTAAATTTGAACTTGTCCGCACCCGTTCTCCAAAACCGCTTGTCAGATTAACTTAGGGTTTCACAATATGTTAGACTAACATGTCTAGTGGTGCAATCAGGGTTTTGTTTGTGCAATGGGGTTTATAAAGGGGTACTTTGAGGGGCAAAAAGAAAAGAGGGTTTTACTATAGAACCCTATGGGATTTTATTTTTAAAAATTTTCAAATGATTATAAATTGAAAACCGTTTGTGATAGACACAATCTTTTTAATTGAAAATGTTCTAAATGATAAAGCCCATTAAATGAAATACAGGGTTAGTCCCCAGGGGTCACCCCCACCCCCTGCCATTTAAAAAAGTTCTAATATCTTGTAAGTGGTCAAGATCCCCACCCCTAAACCATATATATTTTGGTTTGTCATGCTAAGATGGTTTGAATGATATACAGGGTTAGTCCCCAGGGGTCATCCCGACCCCCTGCCATTTGAGAAAGTTCTAATATCTTGTAAATGGTCGAGATCCCCACCCCTTAACCATATATATTCTGGTTTGTCATGATAAAGCACACCAAATATAATACAGGGTTAGTCCCCAGGGGTCACCACCACCCCATGCCATTTAAAAAAGTTCTAATATCTTGTAAGTGGTCAAGATCCCCACCCCTAAACCATATATATTCTGGTTTGTCATGCGAAGATGGTTTGAATGATATACAGGGTAAGTCCCCAGGGGTCATCCCGACCCCCTGCCATTTAAGAAAGTTCTAATATAATGTAAATGGTCGAGATCCCCACCCCTAAACCATATATATTCTGGTTTGTCATGATAAAGCACATCAAATGAAATACAGGGTTAGTCTCCAGGGGTCACCCCCACCCCTGCCATTTAAGAAAGTTCTAATATCTTGTAAGTGGTCAAGATCCCCACCCCTAAACCATATATATTCTGGTTTGTCATGATAAAGCACATCAAATGTAATACAGGGTTAATGCCCAGGGGTCACCCCCACCCCATACCATTTAAAAAAGTTCTAATATCTTGTAAGTGGTCAAGATCCCCACCCCTAAACCATATATATTCTAGTTTGTCATGCTGAGATGGTTTGAATGATATACAGGGTTAGTCCCCAGGGGTCATCCCGACCCCCTGCCATTTGAAAAAGTTCTAATATCTTGTAAATGGTCGAGATCCCCATCCCTAAACCATATATATTCTGGTTTGTCATGATAAAGCACATCAAATGAAATACAGGATTAGTCCCCAGGGGTCACCCCCACCCCATGCCATTTAAAAAAGTTCTAATATCTTGTAAGTGGTCAAGATCCCCACCCCTAAACCATATATATTCTAGTTTGTCATGCGAAGATGGTTTGAATGATATATGGGGTTAGTCCTCAGGGGTCATCCCGACCCCCTGCCATTTAAGAAAGTTCTAATATCTTGTAAATGGTCGAGATCCCCACCCCTAAACCATATATATTCTGGTTTGTCATGATAAAGCACATCAAATGAAATACAGGGTTAGTCCCCAGGGGTCACCCCCACCCCCTGCCATTTGAGAAAGTTCTAATATCTTGTAAATGGTCGAGATCCCCACCCCTAAACCATATATATTCTGGTTTGTCATGCAAAGATGATTTGAATGATATACAGGGTTAGTCCCCAGGCATCACTAATGCATATAACTTTACTGGACCAAACCAATTTTCATTGGACTTTGCCCAATTTCAGGCAACCATGGGAATTACGAATTATGGGAGCTTCGTTTGGGAGACTTCGTAACAGCATCCTGTTACAATCATTTCTTGTTATTTTTGGAGTGTTAAAAATTCTTTAGAGGTTTTAGATAAAATACATGCTTTTGATGGTCCTTTTAATTCTGTTGACAGTTATGATTTTTCTACTCTCTATACTACACTTCCACACAATCTTATCAAGAAAAAGTTTTCATATTTAATTAAATGGTCTTTTGAAAAATCTCATTACAAATTTATTTGCTGTAACTCGTTTAAAGCCTTTTTCTGTAACGAAAAAGGAAAGTATGCTAGATACACTTACTGGAAATGTGAAGATATGATTGAAGCTTTAAATTTTTTCCTGGACAACATATATGTACGTTTCGGCGATAGAATGTATCGACAGGTAGTAGGTATTCCTATGGGCACTAACTGCGCCCCTTTAATAGCAGATTTATTCCTGTATTGCTATGAATCTCAGTTTATGACCAAACTCAGTAAAGACACGTCATTGTTACATTTGGTTGATACATTCAACAATACCTTCCGTTATCTAGATGATATTTTTTCGTTAAATAATCCAGAGTTCTCTAAATATACTACCGAAATTTACCCAATAGAACTTACTTTAACTAAATCTAACATAAACAGCAGTAGTTGTCCTTTTCTGGATTTGGACATTTCAATCTCTAAAGGAAAACTCCATACGAAAATTTACGACAAAAGAGACGATTTTTCATTCCCTATTGTTAATTTTTTTCCTTTTTTAGACGGCATTGTTCCTTTGGCTACATCATACGGTGTATACATATACCAACTCGTTCGTTATGCCCGTGTGTGTAGTGATGTCATAGATTTTAACGGACGTAATCGATGCATCACTGGTAAATTATTAAATCAAGGATTTCGTTACCATAAATTACGTAAAACTTTTGCTAAGTTCTTTCATAGATACAAAGATTTGATTAGTAAATTTGGCTGTACTTGTAGAAAACTGATTAAAAACAGTATTTCACATCCTTAATTTTACGGTAATATTGTACTTAAAGCACGGAAATCACTATGTGATCCGTGTAAACTCATCGAACCTTTAAACAGGCTTATTAGTAAAGGTTATCTTACCAATGTTGTAATTAGATCTTTGAATATAGTTTACATTGGCACTAATATCGATTTTGTCATCAGCAAATTAAAACATAACTAAATTTGTATTTTTTTCAAGTGGGATGTATAAAGACACACCCACGTTCGTTTAGATCTATAAAGAGGTTAAACTCCTAACTATCCTACTGTCTGTCGATACATTTATTTTTGGCATTGCACTAGTCATGTCTTCTTTGACTTGTCCATGACGTTAAAATACTAAATCCCTGGGATGTGTTTTAGTTGATTTTAGTCTCTGATGCATGATTTTTTATTATTGTTTTGGCTTTTAACTAGCTGTCAGTAACTGCGATTACTCTCAAATCGTACTTTCTTGTTTATTTGACCTGTTGATACTTATTGTATTGCTTTTTTGTTATTTAATGTTATTCAGGGTTATATCTGGTCTATATATCAGCTTTGATAAGTGTTTGGTATAAATATAAATTTTCACTTCGTACTATGAACATCAAAATTATTTATTTTGTAATAATATTTCCTTTCTCTATTGGTACTGTACACGTATACCTAACAACAAAATTAATTTCATTTACCTGTGTTTAAAGTTATTGCAAATGGATGGTATTTTTGTTCGAGCATATTGTTTTTCTTTAATTGTTTAACATTTCTTACCGATATAACATGTTACTTTTATTATTCTTCCCTTAGTTTATTTATTTTGTATTCAAAATTATTTATTTTGTAAAAATATTTCCTTTCTCTATTGGTACTGTACAGGTATACCTAACAACAAAATTATTTTCCTTTACCTGTGTTTAAAGTTATTGCAGATGGATGGTATTTTTGTTCGAGCATATTGTTTTTCTTTAATTGTTTAACATTTCTTACCGATATAACATGTTACTTTTATTATTCTTCCCTTAGTTTATTTATTTTGTATTACATTGTGTCATAGGTCAAATTTATTTGTTCAGTGTATGTTCAATGGTGTTAATATGTCCTTTGATTGAGTTAAGCTATTTCAGTTGATATTTTATAGTGTGTCTTTCTATGTTGTGATGTTACACTATTGTTTCAGAAAAAAGGTGAAGGTTTGGTACCAATAAAACGTTTAAATCCGCTGCATTTGTTTGCACCTGTCCTAAGTCAGGAATCTGATGTTCAGTAGTTGTCGTTTGTTGATGTGGTTCATAAGTGTTTCTCGTTTCTCGTTTTTTATATAGATTAGACCGTTGGTTTTCCCGTTTGAATGGTTTTACACTAGTAATTTTTTGGGGCCCTTTATAGCTTACTGTTCGGTGTGAGCCAAGGCTCCGTGTTGAAGACCGTACTGTGACCTATAATGGTTTACTTTTATAAATTTTGACTTGGATGGAGAGTTGTCTCATTGGCACTCATACCACATCTTCTTATATCTATATACAGATATATTTTGTATATTGCCACCCAAAATGGTTTAAAAAAATGCTTGCATTTTATTTCCGACAGGTTTATTAGGATTAATTCATTGATTTAAAAAAAAATTCAAGAGATTTCTTTTGATACTCAATTGAAGATCATATTTACCAAAAAAAAAACTTAGACATGCCCAGTCTTATTATTATCTCCAAAAAATAATTAACCTGTAATTTTGTGCTCAAATTTTGTCATTTTCAAAGTTTATCAGTTACCAACTAGGTGATAAATCTGTGCATGTCTCTCTTCAAATTATTTTTTTTCCTCCAATCCCTTTTCAAAGTTTCAAATAGACTTTTGAAAGATAAGTTGTAGTTGGGCATTACAAATGAAAAATATGGAGTTTTAATAGAGTTTCAGATAGCAGATATTTAGATTTATTTCTGTACAGTGATGCATATTTCTGTCTGAGTGGTAGATAAAATTTAAATGAATGCAATTGGTCACTAACTAAATAAGAAATGGAGTTTTGTTAATCTCAATTTCACAATGAATCTAAATTTCCTATAAAAAAAACAGATAAAACAATTATTTATGGAGTTCTATTTTATTACATGGATTTTTGATTCAATGGAATGTTATGAACAACCTTATGTTAGATATAAAAGTTTATGAAACATTATTGTTAAAGATATTGACAGTATTATATTTTATATTTATTCTTTAACTAGAGTACACCAGAAAGGAATAGTAAAAATAGGTCACGACCACCTAGTTTAGTCACTGGTGCTAGTACATTAGAATTAACAAGCAACCAAAAGGAAGGTTTAGATGCAAGAGATCGTGCTTTATCACAATCACAGGCTTTATACATGAAACCCAAAAGTAAGTCTAACTGTGTTTTATAAAATAAGTTTTTGCTCTAACTTAGAAAGATAAAAGAAAATGTGTGGTATGCATCAACTACAAAACAACACATAAGGGAAAAACCTCTAGATATAAAGATACGAAGATGTGGTGTAATTGCCAATGAGACATCTCTCCACCAGAGACCAAATGACAAAGAAGTCATTTTATGGTCTTTCATAAAGTAAAATTGTCTACACCATATCTCAAGTTCTAAATTGCATCTAGACCCGTATGGTATAGTCTATAGACAAGTTGTTAATAAACTGTAACAGAGGCTACCAAAGGTCTACCATTATTGACAATTTCTCATAAAGAAAAAACAGTATGCTTATCAGAGGCATTTCTTCTAGTAGGCACATTAAAAAGCGGTAGGATTAAACTTTTTTTTTATTAAATACCTCACGATTTTTTCTCTCTTTTTTTTTTTTTTAAACTTTGTATCATAAAAAGTAAATTGTACATAGAACAGAGTTAACATTGTTAATATAGCTAAACATATATTCAATCTTATAATCGCCTTAGAGCGACAGATTATCTCCCCTTATTTAAAAATGAAGTTTGTGAGTTGTTCTACATAAGTTTAAGTTATTAGTATATTGTCTTGCATAAGTTTTTGCAATTTTAAAAGCTGTGGAAAAAATATACATCACTGGTCAAAATCACAAGAACACTAGCAAGATCTAACGACATTTAAAAGATGCCCTTTTTTTGGTATCTTATCTGAGTCAATTTATGAATTTTATTTCAGTGGGGAAAACGGAAATTAAAAAATATCAGTTTAAATAATGTGTTTTGTTTCATAGAGTTTACCCATACTAGACAAAGGAGCAGTATAAGGAGTAGTAAGTAATTTCTCATGTATCAGAAATGCATGAGAATTTCCTCATGAATCTGTATGAGAAAGTGCATGAGATTTCCCTTCATCTTGTGTTTTTATGGCAGTAACTGCATGAGATGTTTTCACAAATATATATAAATGTAATGTAATTTAAACTTTGTGTCGGATGGAGAACTTTTTTTTAACAACATGAGTTAAGCATGCATATTATGTCTATTTTTGTTTTCAATTTCTTTAAACAATACTTTTGCTGCTACGAACATATTTATCAGATATCTTTTCAAGTAATGAAAGAACAAATATCACAACCACGGGTTAAGACACTAACTTGTAAGATTGATTGATTGAATGTTGGTGTTTAACGCCACTTTCAAAACACTTCGTTATATCATGGAAGCTGTTCTTATTAGCAGAGGAAGCTGGAGTACCCGGTGAGATTAATTAACCGTTGGCAGATAAACTGGCAATCCTAGTCAATTAAGATTGGAGTCAAACAAACCTTGCCGCCAGCGGGGTTCAAACCACGACCTCAGTTTTGACCATTGTAGATGAACTGCTTAGACCACTCAGCCATCCAGACCTTAGACCACTCAGCCGCCCAGACCTTAGACGTATCAGATCTTAGACCACTCAGCCACCCAGACCTTAGACCACTCAGTCGCCCAGATCCTAGACCACTCAGCCACCCAACCCTAGACCACTCAGCCTCCCAGACCTTAGACCACTCAGCCATCCAGACCTTAGACCATTCAGCCACCCAGACCTTAGACCACTCAGCCACCCAGACCTGAGACCACCCAGCCACCCAGACTTTAGACCACTCAGCCACCCAGACGCTAGACCACTCAGCCACCCAACCCTAGACCACTCAGCCACCCAGACCTTAGACCACTCAGCCACCCAGACCTTAGACCACTCAACCACCCAGACCTTAGACCACTCAGCCACCCAGACCCTAGACCACTCAGCCACCCAAACCTAGACCACTCAGCCACCCAGACCTGAGACCACTCAGCCACCCAGACCTTAGACCACTCAGCCACTCAGCCACCCAGACCTTAGACCACTCAGCCACCCAGACCCATCAACTTTAAAGGTTTATTAGTCACTAATTATTGTAGCATTCAGTAAAAATATTAAGTTATGTCATAACTAATCCGAAGAACTACTTCAATTAATTAAATTGGCCATTCGTTCAGACATTGTTATAGCCTCTCGAGACAATATACATGTATGTTAACGTTAAATCCTGATAAAGCTTTTATTGTAGCATGTAAATTTCCTTTTTCCTTGAAATTTATATTGGTTTATACAGACACAATCTTATTTGAAACATGTATCAGCATGATTAATGTGTGTCCTGTAATATTTTTAATCGTTTTGAAATAAATTTAACATTCTTTGTTTGATAGTTTGGGTCAGATTTGAGAACCTGTAATGAATATTCGTATTTGTTGAAGTGCTTCATTTTTAGAAAATATATTGATAGAAAATGTGAAAAAAATAATACATTATTAATCCTTAATATAATTGAGCAACTAACCTGCCTTTGAGTGATTTAATTACAGTCCATTACATGTGATCAGCATTACAAGGGATAATCGAAAAAATGGCATGCCAAAAATGATGCATACAATAAACAGTTTTCTTTTAAAGTATAAGAAACAAGTTACGGATATTTATGGAAATTTCGTATGAGTCTTCGGGCTATTCTAGGAAAAAGATGTATGGACAAATTGTTTTCCATTCTCTTTCATGACCCAATACAATTTTAATAGGAACCCATTTTGAAATGTGTAAACTTCCTAATTACATCTTAAGTGCTTTCCAACACTCAACCTCCTACAACTGTTCCTGTAATAGATCTTATTAACTAATCTTCCTTTTTTATATCAAAGGTAACCTTTGCAAATAATTAATTAGTCATATATTCAGAAATCAGTGCAATTGCCAAGATATTAACTGCTGAGTCAGATGATCATATTTCCAATTTAATATTTATCCATTTTTTATTTAGATTTTGCCGTGAATAATGCAAATTTGGCAAATATCACAGCTTCTCAGCCAAACTTAGCCATGAATTCTTCAACCAATCATCATGATTCTCTACAGTCACATGACAAGATATCACCAAGTGGTAATGGCCCACCCCTGCCACCAAGAATGAAGAAACCTCCACCACCGCCACCAAGTGACAAAAAGCATGCAAGAAACAAATCTGAGCCTTTCCCTGCAGAGGTCATTCATAGGCGGTCAATCTCTGACCCACCATCTAGACCTCCACCTCCAGAGTTTAGGAAAACGATTGCTTTATCATCTAGACCCTCACCACCTCCAGACATAGATAAAACAGGAATAGGGTAACTATCATTACTGGTAAATTCAGAAATTTTTGTAATGTTTTTATTATTGCGAAAATTGCCATGGGATAGGTATTGGAAAAATGAAAACTTGCATTTTAAAATTTGATAGCATTATTGTATGCAGTCATCATTTTCTGAAATTTCAATAATTGATCTGGCATTTTTGTTCATTGTTAAAAAATTGCAATAAGAAATGCATGCAAACATTTCTGAATTTACAGTTTTGTTTAAGATACAAGAATGAGCAAAAAAAAGAATGGTGGCAAACAAAATTAAATAAAAACAAGAGCTCAGTAAAACACAACTCCCCCTTGTAACCCTAGATTGCAAGTAATTATAACTTCTGATAATAATATGAAATGATATGAAATAGAGGGTTCATTGTGTCACTAAAGTATAAATGCAGTTAACTATAGAATACAGTTCTAACAAGAAATTCACAATCATTATTTTTGTTGAGGAAATTCCCCATTAGAATTAGAAGAAAAATCAGTACAGTTCTTAACTGATTTATACTTTTTTTGGCAGGTTAATTAACTAATTATTTTTTTTCATAATCAGCATGTAGTTCTATTTTTGTCAGTTTTTCATTAGTCAAATTTTATCTATGACATCACATTTTTGTCATTCTCTGCTTTTGTTATTGTGATGTCTGGGGAAAAAAGGGAAAGTGTATTAAAATTTAAGAATTGAATGTCTTGACATAAGAAATATTGTATAGTATTAAACTTCGCAAAAAATAAACAGCCTCACTGTATATTTTGATGAACATGTTATAAACACCTGGAATAACTAAACCTTATTTACACTAGATGTTTGTATATTTACATTTAGGATGGTAATCAAGCAATAAGATGATTAACTTATGATGTCCAATCTTTTCTTTTCAGAGGGACCCCTTCACCAAGACCAAGGGCCAAGTCCAACAGTGATGGTAGGTCAAAAATATAAAAAAACATAGGGTTTTCTTAGGGCTATTCCGTTCAAACCTACACTAACCCAAGAAAGGCACTCTGGAACAGTGTTCCAGCTAGGTCGTTTTCACAGGACGGTCCGCCCGCCCTTTCCCGAGTGCCGCCATGTGCCCTTTTTTCTGACGCCCTGTGCCCTTTTTCTGACGCCCTGTGCCCTTTTTCTGACGCCCTGCCCTTTTTCGTAAGTCCATATGCCTTTATTGTCGTAATATTTTGATGAAAATACAATTATTCTACCTGTCATCATAATAATGACAAGTTTATGACCCTCAGCTAATTAACATTTACAGCAGGTGTAATAAGTTGTGATTACAGATAATCTGCTTATCGACATGGGATGGGTCATTAATCCGTTAATTAAACTTCATAAATGACCATTGTAATAATTTTTCTCATAAAATTCGGTCAGTCAGCATTTCTATTTCAATATTTCTCAAAAAATGACAATTTGCCTTTGATGTATCCGTAGATCGTCTGTTGTTTATATGTCAAAGATTTTTTTTTATTGATCTTTTAAACTAGTTTTAATCCAGAAGAAAGTAAAAACAATGCTTGACTGTACCTTTTATTGAATATCTATATCCAAATTAAATTAATTAAAGCTGTAATCCATGATCACAAATTGACTGCTTTGTTTACATTTGTTGAAAGCAATGTGCTTTTTTGGTGGGAAAAATTCGAAAACCCCTTTAACAAGAAACAGTTACATTTCATTGTTATTTATAGACAGTAAGATTTTCATTTTGATTAACTGCTAAGATTATTTCATTAAAAATGAATACTTTCTTGGGGTGAAACTGATAATACTTTAATACTCTACATCTAGAGGTTTGTAAAATGGAAAAAAGGGGGGCGGGGTATATATAATATTACAAATATAAGTTTAACAGTCTGAAAAGACATGGTTTAATGGATTTTAATTCTGAAAAACTCAATGTGGTTTATTATAATTCATTTATTATTTCTATCATAATCAGAAACACTGGGCTACATGTATTAGTCATTTCAAACATATATTATTGCCTTTATAAGAACATTCAAGACTATTAATAAGTATGTACCTGTAGTAAAAATACCCTGGTAGGGCCTTAAAATTTCTACTGGGCCCTTGGAAAAAAGTTTTGGGATCCAGGTTGGTCCCTGGAGAAAATGTAAGGTATTGTTCCTGACTGTATTGCATATCTAGTGTAGTATTTTAACTGACATGCACAATTCATTTCACTAATGAAATAAAAATAATTCTACAAAACGCCGCTGCGTTCTGCATTGCAACTTAACCTTAAGTAAATAATAAAAGCGCTAGGAATAGTGAATAGAAGAAAAACTAAATGGTAGAATTTTGATATAAGATATGAGAGGATAGCTCTTATAATATGCCTTCAGATTATAAAAGAAAAAATGAGATCACCTTACGTTAATTCCTGCTATAACATAAGATATAAAACATTTTCTACAGATTCCTTATGAAATTTACTATTACTGAGTTACCTCCCCTTAATATCCAAAATTTAAAAAAATCTAAATCAATCTAAATTTAAAAAGAATAATTTATTTTAACTTAAAATCACATAAGTCTGTTCATTTAACTGAAAATTCATCTTGTTAGATTGCAGTCCTGCTTTGAAATTTGCTGACTTAATTGAAAATGTAGACCTGTTGTGTTCTGCTATTTTATAATCCAAGATGGTGGGATTCACCCATTTTGGAATTTTGGTTCTTCAGTACTCTTTAACTTCATACTTTATTTGGGCTTTTTAACTTTTTTTATTTGTTTGTCACTGATAAGTCATTTGAAGACGAAACATGTGTCTGGCGTACACATTTTTAATTCTGGTATCTATGATGAGTTTATATACCACCTTAAAAGAAGGAATTCATTACAATTTCTGTTGCCTCGACAAAGACACAGTATCATAATGCTTTATTTTTAATTTCAGACTCCAAGTCATCAGGGACAGAAACACCGCCATTACCATTACCTCGCAAGGTAAAAAGTTTACTTACAACACAATCATTACTTCTACTGTAGATTCATTAATATTTGTGGGATACCAATTGTTGTGGATTTCATGGGTGAAGGTAAAGCACAAATTCAAATGTTCAAAGGAGTACAAATTTTCTATACGCTTGTATGCAGACTTTGGCAAAACCATGGAATCAAATATCCACAAAAGTTGGTATTCACGAAAATATATGAATCCACAGTCACTTTTCAAACATTTAGCTTTTATTGTTAGCAGTTCACTAATGACTGTAAATTTCAGAATAAGTTCTACTGATTGACCATTTGTATTTTTCATGCTTTCATTGTTGTATCTATATATATCGAAACTGCAGAAATGGAGGCTTTCATATATCTTCTTCCATGTTGTGTGTTAGTGACTTTGACAGATTTTGATATAACTTACTTATAATAAGTTTTTTGGATAACTGTTAAACTATTGCTTTGTGTTATACTAAAACATTTATGATATAATTGTTGTTTGAATATTTTTTCTAAAGTAATTGATAAATTTATGATATCGAGGTTCCACCGAGTTGCAGCAAAATCAGTCACAATCAAAGATAATCTAGGCATAACCTTGGTTATCTGCCTTTCATATCATGTATTTAACATTTTGTAACAAAAATGAAAAAAATGTGCCCACAAATCTTCAAATACAATCATGTTTTGTTCTAGATTCAAAATGTTTAAACAAACGTAGCATATTTATGTGCTTAACTTGCTGAAATAGACTATTTTCATATTACCGACTTTTGACTGGGGATTATATAATTTGTCGACTGGTTACCTTGGACATCATGGTACCAAGTCAGGTAAGAGCAAGCTAAAGAAGTAAAACCAAGCGTTCAATTGGTACAATTTTTGGGGAAAATTACCTGCTTAATATTTTTTTTTTCACTTCAAAATCATCAGAAAACAATTAACTTTCCCCTCAAATTACACCGATTATATGTTTGATTTTACTTATTTTGATTGCTCTTACTTGACCGAGTACCATGATGTCCAAGGTAACCAGTAGACAAATTATATAATCCGGAGTCAAAAGTTGGTAATATGAAATAGTCTATTGTCCTGTACATTTCTACTACCCTTGTTTTAGACTCATATTATATAAATAAGGTGAGACTAACTCTGATTCTGTCAGGCAAAGCGACGATTTCTTTTATTTGTAAAAATCAACGTTATAAATAAGAAGATGTGGTATGAGTGCCAATGAGACAACTCTCCATCCAAGTCACAATGTATAAAAAGATTACAATTATAGGTCAAAGTACGGCCTTCAACATGGAGCCTTGGCTCACAGCTAGCTGTAAATGACTTGTGTAAAACAATTCAAACAGGAAAACCAACGGTCTAATCTATAGAAAAAACGAGAAACACCTGTGAATCACACCAACAAACGACAACCACTGAACAACAGGATTAATTTATGAAAGAAAAAAAATGTCCTGAACACTGGTGCTAATGCACTTCACTGTGTGAAATCTAGAAATGATTAATATTACAGTCCGTAAACTGAAAAAAAATGATTTAAATCAATATACATTTAGACATTTAAATGACTGAATAATAGCCAACAATAAATCTTACGGGGCGATGGATCATATAATTATGATACAGTACACTACAAAATATAATATATAACAAGTCTAAAAGGGTACAACATCACCAAAAAATAATAATAAAATGAACAAATGTTAAATATTTCGGATAACAGATATCCTTCATCAGTATGATCACGATGTAAAATGAATCATATCAATCTAGTCTGATTATAAAACTATAACAATCTTGAAATTTGTACAATAAAACAGTCAAAAGTGAACATCATAGAGACGCTAGTACAGTTTTAAAATTTTTAAACATGACGTAGGTTATGTAGCTATTTACAACAGAGACTGCAAAGATATGCTTCAAATGAAAATAGTAATGTGCGATATGAACTGGTACAACTCTAAAATTTTAAAAGTGACGACAGTTAAGATGTTACAACAACGATACCGTGGAAATACATTCCCAATAAACAGAACTTTTAAATATATATAAAAAAAATTGTCTGCAAGTGGAGTTGTCAACACCCAGCCGTTCGATACCCCTAAACTCTTCTTCCAATCTATTAAAAACCAAACTAATTTGCATAACTGGTTTGTTCTCTTGTTAAATGAGAAAAAAAAATCAATAACTAACTCCCTATGCTTATCACACATAAATTTATTTACCTCCAAAATGCAACTGAATTAAAACAGTGCTTAGTCTTTCACATGTCATCTTTGCTTGCATGTACAAATTCAGACCGTCAATCAGAAATTGATGTCCTGAAATTTGTGGCATTATCCAATCAAAATGAACATTATTTGTCAATGTTGCTTTAGAATGATATGTTTAATTTTACCAATTAGATTGTTGAGCATCAGAATGAATTGGTAAGAACATTGTTATTTACACTGCACCTGCTTTATGCTAAATACTTCAACCTTTCTTTTGCAATTGGTAGATTTATTTTTGCTAGGGTCTTAGTTTAAATGAATGAATTCATACTGCAGCTTGGATTTGGTCATAGTGATTTTTTTTATGCCCTTCCATAACCAGAGGGGGTATAAGTGTTACCCTTGTCCGTCCGTACGTACGTACATCCCTAAATTGGTTTCCCTTCTCTAACTTTAGTTTGCCTCAACCAAATTTTATGAAACTTATATACAATGCATATTACCACAAAACACAGATCAAGTTCAAATTTGGGTGGCATCACTTTCACCGTTCTTGAGTTATGCCCCTTTATAACATTAAATGCAAGCTGGGGCATCATCTGTCTCCCATGGACACATTCTCCATTTATTTGTTATGAAAAAGGAATTTATCGAAAAAGTTATTATATATGCAGGTTGGAGTAATATTTAGGCAAATATAAAAGGAAAGACACCATGAATATAAGTACTGTGACAGTATTCCCTTTCAAAATATTATTTCACCTTTTTAACTAACTTGTATGAGTTTAATTTCCAAAACCATTTTGCATCTGTAAAGCCTCTCCTGAGGAGGAAACTCTATTGACCACGTTTAAACAGTTGCTTCCTAGAAAAAAGTTAGTTGTGGTTTAGGGTATGTAAGTTTGCTCAATTAGGTTCTTTTTCTGTTCTAACTTCTGAAAGTGCTTCGGAGAAGAAAAAACTTAATTTCTTAAAAAGCATTACAGCTCTAGTACTTGAAGACCAGCGTGTACTACTTTCTGTACTATGTTTTTTTTTAATTTAAAAAAGTAAATTGCTGAAAGTGAAGTTAAGCACTAAAAAATTAATCATCAATCATGAGATTTACACATACAACACCTTCGGTATTGTTAAGTGGTAAATTTTCACGAAGGATTTATTTTATTGCTAATTTCTTAATAAAGATGAAATAGCAATCAGGTTTTGCGTAAGAAATTGTGAAATTAAAACTCAGATAAAATAGTGCACTTAACAGTAGAAATGTCAGTCAAGGTTTTATATTCAACAGATTTACACATTTATATCAAATTAGAATAGCTAGGAGTGTGTTTGTTGTCCACAGTGGGCACGTAGTAATAGCAACATCCACTTTAGCTGTAGTGTATTTTAGGAAGACCATGGTCGATATTTACAGTGGATTCATTATTATTCATAGATTTTGTGGGTAAAGGTTTACCAAGAATTTGAGAACGTTAAACAAAGTACATATGCTATAGAGGCATGTTTGCAGAATTTGTCAAAACCACTAAATCAAATATCCAGGGAAATAAAATTTTTCTTCAATCCACAAAAATAGTGAATCCACGGTATGTGACAACCACTTTTAATTTTCCTTAGTTCTTTGGGATAACGTTGTTGCAGACGGTAGTCTGTTACAATTTTTTGCTTATTTCCAATTTGGAAACATTCTCTTTAGAATTTAGATATCATACAGAACTGTTTTAATACAGAACTGTTTTAATCCATCATTTCTAGACATAATTGTATTGCAATTAAAAGCACTTGAATGATTTAAGCTAGTAATTAATTCAAGCTTTCCAGTTTTAATTGCTACAATAAAAAAAGATTTCTATCATTTCCTGTTTATTTCTGATTGCTGTAACTAATGAACTAACATATTTTTTTTTCAAAGAATTCTCATCAAAAAAGTTTCTTGGCATGTAGAGTTTTGGATATTTAACGCTGATCATTGACATTTTAGGATAGTGTACAGTTTGAATCAGAAGGTGGTTAGTGTAGATATTGAAAATAATCTGTGATCCTAACCTTTGTGAAAATTAAATTCAGTATTAAGGACAGGAGAACCTATCTAATGTATTTTTCTTCATTAACGCTTGTTGATTGAAATTTTACATGAAGAGTTAATTGATTTGTTCTTTGATTACAGAAGAAGACACCAGTTGGTCAGAAGTTTCAGGCATTATTTGATTGTGATGCAGACAATGATGATGAATTGACTTTTGCAGAAGGGGAGATAATCCTTGTATTGAGAGAAGAGGAAGATGATTGGTGGGTAAGTAGTCACATGTTCTTAAATTATATTGATGAGCTTCCAGATTTTATGCAGTGTTGGAAAGAAGATGTAAAAGAGACATTTGTGTATTGTTTTATAACACTACTTTAATTTGATAATGACTTTGGATTTCACCCAGAGTCTAAAGAATTTATACACCCGACCTGTTTCCTCATTGGCTTCATGTTCTCCAGAATTGACAAGTTTGTTGTTAAAAATGTTTTCCTGTCCTTTTTTTTTCGCTCCCAAATAGGTTAAGGTAAGTTTTCAAGTATCCTCTTATTTGGCTTATTCTGTAGAATAATGACCCTGAATAGACTTATTACATACACCATGTTTAGAGATACAATTGAAAGTTTTTAATAATTTTAAGATCTCAACATATAATTTAAATTGTACTCTTGGACTCACATTTCACAGCTAAGCTTGAATGAATTTTTATTTTCGGTATTTGATTAAAAGATGTTCTAAAGAGTCAAAGGAAATAGAGATGTATAAATTTTTAACTATAAATTAATGCATATACATGTTAACTTGACCGTGTACAAAAAACCAATGTTTTGGTCATTGTTGAAAAGTATAACTACACACTCTGTACTTTTATCTGGTAGGGAACTTAAATGTTATTTTAAGTTTTTAAACTTGCTGTAGTAGTGGTAGTAAGAGGTATTTGAGTAATGGTCACTAGGCTTCTTAAAAATAAATAATCATTGAGGTTAATAAAGTTTTCATAAAGCATTAAAAACCATCAGAGATTCCATAGTTTATGTATACTTTTTGTATGAAAATTAGGAAACCAATAATAGACCTTGTTATTTCTTCAATTAATGTTCTGTATTTTATATTTGTAGGAAGGAGAGATAGAAGGTCATCCAGAGAGAAGAGGACTTTTCCCCAAAACTTTTGTACAACCAATGTCCTAGCATCAGTATCACTTTGGTGTATATTATTTAGATATACTTAGGTAGTGCTTCTTGTTGTACCACCTGTATTGAATTCATTCATTTTGGTTAAGACCATTCAAGAAATATTTTTTGTCACTCAAAACACAGCAATGCGTCTCCGAAATATGATGTGTACATTTATTTTTATAGTTCAGAATGTTTATTTACAAAAAATGAAAAGATGTACCAATGTTCAGCATAGAGCATATGAAATGCAATATGGTGTCAGAATATCTTATAGAATAAAAAAATATGTAACTTTAAAATTAAACTAGATCTGACCACTTGCAAGAAAACGTGTGTAAGATGGGGGTATTTTGGGTTTAAGGTGTTACATGTACATTATTTTTATGTTGGCTTTGTGATTAAGGTCAAATATCAGAGAGAATTTCTTAAGGAAGGTGATACAACAAGAATTGCACTTATACATGATAAATATCGAGACATAACCATAATATGAAAACCTCTTTGTTTCTATGTATACAGAGTATTAAAGAATTGGAGAGAAAAGTATTTCTACACAATGGATAGTCTCATGGACGCTGAATGTTTTTGCATAATATTTATTCTTTATAAAATTTGCTTTTCACAAATGGCTTAATTCTGTTAATTTGTAAAAAAAACAAAAAAATTGAAAGCAGTTTGCAGTACTAATAGTGCTACATTTTTGTATTTTATATTGAGTAGAGACTGTGTCCTCAATTTTCATGCTTGTTTGTTCCATGGCAAAAATTTGATTGAATGGCCATTTTTTTAATCATTACAATGTAATGATATTGTACAGATTATATTTGAAAACAAATTTATTTATAGTTAATATATAATATATTCCTGTGCGAAGATATCAGATCAGGACTGTCCTGCCAGGGAACAGTTATCAGTATTAGAATTTATTTTCAGAGCTCAGCTTATGTGTGCCTTGGTTTGCTTTGGGTATTATTTAATAATTTTTTCTTTTCATTTTCTAACAAATTTTGTAGGAAGAAGTTCTTATTTTTTAGCCTCATAAAGATTAAAAGATAAAAATAAATGGGGGTTACTGTTCATAACTAAATTTAAATTTAAAACATTGTTTAATGTTCAACCATAGGTAAGGAAAGATATAACCAAAATATTTCTTTCAAATCTTCTTTTTCCCTAGCCTGAAATTGTTCAAAAGTTAAGTTTAAGCGGAATAGGTTGAAAATGCAGATTACTTACCCCTTATCTCGTCAGCTTTTAAATTTGTATATTTTATTACTTCTTTTTAAGGCTACAATTAAGTACATAATAAATGGCTCCAGTTATCATTAGATACTAATTTTATGTTGTGTGACTGCTATGATTGACATTTATTCAAAAGCAATCATATAACACTTTTTTTCATTGGCTACTGTTTACCATGAAATCAACAATTGATATCTTGTAGTAAAGGAGTGAGCTGCCATATTGAATTCCTGAAACTAAACATAATCAATTATTATGATGTAAATGAAAGTGAAACATTGCCTACCTCAAAAACATAGTTTTAATGAAATATCCAAAATTGAAGCATACGCATAATAAAATAATGCAAGCCTGAAAGGTCTTATTCTTATAATGCCATGTTTTGTCTCAATATTAATTCATTCAAATTTATCACAAAATTTTGCTGAAGCTTTTTATTTGTTATTTTGTACCGTTTTCAAAACTTAGTGGAATAATTTCTATAATAATACATTAGAATAGGAATAACAGTACACTGTTTTAAGAGTTGCCATCCATCAATTTGGGATTTGAAAGTTGTAAATAATTAAGACCAGTTTGGTACAAAACAAGCACTTTTTGATTGTGATTTCAAATGTGTTCTTTCATGGCGGTAAAAAAATACAGCAAAATATCTTATTCCCTGCCCATGTGTATAAGCTTGAAATTTGTACCCTGATAAAATACTTAATAAGTAATGGAAAAAAAGATATTTTATTGTTTTATTATTTTTCCTGTAATGCTTATGTTTACAATAGTTGTAATGTTAATTACATAGAAAAGTTCTTATTCATGAATTTTCTGTTTTACATAATTTTATTTAAATTGTATATGGCAGAGGCGAAGGATGCTGCATTTCTAGTAGAATAGTATGTTTGTCAAATTCCAAATTAGGAATCAAACATGGTGAAGTGATTTACTTAAGGTGCAGCAGGATAACCACAAGTTAATTTTACATTCACTTTTCTTCTAATAATTTAAGTCATAGTAAAACTTTGCAAAGTATACCGGTAAAATATCAGTGCAATATTCTATTTTTAGCATAATCAGTTAGTCTAGATTTCAATATTATCAGTCATTGACATGTCAATCAAAAACATATACATACATTAGTATAATACCGTTTAACAGTTTGTTTTCATGGAGTTTGAATTTCTCAATTTCCAATGCAGAACTAGTTTGCAAGGTTTTATTTTCATGTTTTTCTCAATCTGTCTATGATTTTCCCATAAAACAAAATTACTAGGAGATATATATATTGCGAAACTAGCATGAAATCTTTCATTGAGATGAATCATGTAGAATCCTTGGAAGATTGTTCTGAAAATCAAATCTCAATCCTTTATATAATTTGTTTTCCAGAATCTGATGAATTATGGGTAATTTCATTGTTCATACACTAAAATATAATGATGCTACTGTAGATCCATTTATTTTCGTGGGTTTAGGAAAATATTTATTTGTGGATATTTAGATGCATGTTTTTTTTTTTAAATTCTGCATACAACTTACAAGCATAGGTAAAGAAAAAATATACTTTTTTAAATTTGAGGTTCAATATGCCCATGAAAATCATGAAAATTGGTTACCCACAAATGATAATGAATCCACAGTATGCCATTGGTGGGCAATTCATTGTTTAAGATGAAGTTAGCAAAATATAACATTTGGTGTATGCTTTTGTAAATATTACCGAAATGCACTGCACAAGATTGCACTTCAAATGAGTTCAGCACTAATTGATTCAGAAAAATTAAGTTGAGATATATAGATTTGTTATGGGGCATCAAATTAATTTAAAGTTCTTTTATTGTTACTAACAATTTTGATGTCTTAATGGTATAAAAATAGGATCTTGGATTGTTATCTAGTTATTATGAATCAAGATATAACATTGCGTTAGGGTGATGGTTATAGTTAGTTAAGGTTACAGGTCCATAATCAAAATGGCAAACACATATTTATAAATTTTGAAATAAAAAATCAATCAATTGAGAAATTTTATATAAATTTATTGTTCCTGAAAAGGAAATACTGTTAAAACCTGTAAAAATCTTCCAAAGAAAACCAAACAATTATTGTTACTGAATTTTCCTGAGGTTAATGAATATTCGTGAGGTCAGTTATTGTTTGACAACTACCTTAACATGAATTTGATTACTGATTATTTTTATGCCCAAACTGTAACCATTGTTAATAATTGCTGTGATTATAGGTAATTCATTCCTTTATATGATCAGATATTCCAAAGAAGTTTATTATTATTTTTAGTGGAAAGTGACATGTTGTCTGTATAATGATACAAGTAAAAACCCAATATCCTGTCAATAGTCAAATTATATGGTTAAAGTCAATGAAAATTCACAGGGAAAGAAAAAAAAAGGTTTATTAGGATATTAAAAGACAAAGTAAAGTTTTGATTTTGGAAGCATTATTGAAATTTTTCCTTAGAGAAAATTTAATGGAAAATAAGGCTGTAATATTACGTTGACACCCTAGGACTCAGTTTTTCATAATAAAACTGCTTTAATGCTGTAATAAAATCAAATCTTATTTCCTTTACAATAAGTTCAAATTTGAGTTTAAAGGAGAGCAAGTCAATATTTTTTGTGAGGAGAACATCAAGAATGTCAATTTTTGAAATGTTATTTTATTCATAAATTCATCATATTATCTGTTATAAATAAAAAGTCCAAAATTCATACTACTGACAACATAGAGTTATTTGGTGTGGCCTAATAAGAATTTTTATATATTGTTATTGTTTTAAATATACACAGCTTTAAATACATGTATACCAATTTATATTATTATATTTGTTTATCACAACACTTAACAATCATTTGAACCATTTAATATATATTATCAAATAAGTTTTTACTGTGACAGTTTAGTGGAAATGTTTTTGAATACACCTTATCGCTATTCCCGACTGACCCGAGAATCTGTCCCGCTTGAACTATTGACGTCATACATCAATCACTTTTTTATTGTGGCGTCAGATATTTTATATTATGACGTCAAAATTTTACGGGAACCTGTGTGATGTCCAGTAATGGCGGACAAATAGCGATAAGGTGTATTTCACTCAAACTATAGATAGGTTTTGATATGATGTAAATTGAGTTTGAGTTATCTCCCTTGGCTGTGATTTTGGAGAGATGAATGGTTGATTTTCTTCTTTGACTAACTAAATTACAACACGACATTCGAACAAGTTTGATAAAAGATCCTTACTAGATCATAGTGATGAATTAAGAAAGGCTTCAAGAAATTAAAATTGTTCAGAAAACAACTTTTTCTACTGTCAAGCAATCAATATAACAAGATGAATTTGGCAGATTTATGAAGGAATTTATGCATGTATACCTCAAACATGGTGACAATTGGGAAGTAACTCTTCCTCAAATTGTATCAATCGAAACCTACCAATACAAAGATGGTGTTCAGTAGGGTAGAAATATATAAGATGCACAATGTATTTTATTTATATTTAAAGATCTTACTTCAATTGTATAAATTTTTGAGAGATTGTTAATGATACAATGTGTGTACAAATAGGAATATATCAAATATTATATTGTTAGGGGTATATATTTCTGATAAAAGGGGGAAATATTGGGTATATATTTATGATAAAAGGGAGAAAAATTTTGTAATCATTATTCAAGATTTATACAATATGTAAAATCCAATCATCCTGACATGAATTTCTTAGAAATGTATAATTAGTTCCAAAATTTTGTCTCTTTGAAATGGGAAAATGTTAGGAAAAAATATATAGACGGGTTTAGTTTGGGAGAAATTTGTCAATGATGGTATAAGTATATACTTTGTCTCATTGTTATTTGTATATTGTTATGTTAAGATGTGCAATATGTATATATATATATATCAATGTCTATATGTTTATGTACAAATATGTATTGATATGACCACTCTTATAGAGAGATTTTGTTTTAAAACATTTTATATACAGTATATCGCTATTTTTTTCATGTGCATTAACATTTGCTGCATCCATGGTTAGCTTAGTTGAACAAAACTCTGATCTAACAAAAAAATTCGGTTTCATTTAAGATACCTTGGGCAAGACTAAGATATGAATATTAAACCTTTGCAATTATTTTACTGACCATATTTCCTTCTAAATCACAAAAAGAGCTGACACCAATAATATTCAATTCATGGTATTGTACAAGAAAAGTATAAACATTTGTCAATCTATTTGTATGTAAAGGGATTTGACATATACTGTAAATTTATAAATTAAAGCATGCATTTATAATTGTGAATCCTTGACCACTGGCAAAAAAAGAAGAATCTAATCGATACAAGATCAAAAATTTAATGAAGGAAAATCACTACTGACATTAAGAATGCAAGTTTTTATTATTGCGAACTTGATACAGTCACATTTTATGTATGATTAAAAAATTCAATAATTTCTGAATTTACAGTAGTTTTGGAAGTTTGCATAGGATCTGTCCACATTAAAATTAATTGCCATGCAAGTTTATGGAATGTGATTATTGAATTCTCTCAAAGAAACACAATAGGATGTTAATTGTATATTACCTGTAAATCTTTCTTGTACAGTTTGTTGTGTGATCTGTATGTAAATTAGAAGTCATTCAATTTAGCAAGACCAGATTTTTTGGGTGTAGTTTTTTCACTGATTTCTGGATGCGAAAGAGATGATATCAAATAAATATTTATGGTTGAATTATAAATAAATACAATAAAAGAACGGATTTCTGCAGTTCCTCTTTGAAGACATATTAATTATATGGTAAACAATTAGTCATTTTATAATCTAAAAGGGTAAATTCATTGTTTAACACTAAAATAAAAAGAAGATTTGTCTATTGGTTAGGTATTAATTGTAAAGCTTGTCGCTAGCAAGGAACACAGTTTTGCTGTACAATTTTTCAAAGATGACCCAGAATGCATTTAATTCTGAATTGGTGAGTTAGATTATTTTCTCATGCCATTTTAAGTCTTTTCCTACTAGGGCAGATTTTGGGTTTTACTACCCGTAGATTTAGAATTGATCTTTGTTAACCAATTTAGAAAATATGCAATTTACGACAAAATTGAATAATCTCTGATTTGCACCTTTGGGTGAATGTATAGGTTTATGTATTCTATTGAATATCTTATATAGCAGATTTATTAAACTTATGTACAGGATGAACATGTATATATTGTTTCATATACAGGAATTAAATTGTAAATACATGAACACAATCTATATGTTTAAGTATTGAATATGTAAACCTGTCGAAGGATGAATATGCAAATTAATATTTCCTGAACTAGACCTGACGGCACTAAAACCTGTCTATAAATGTAGATTTAAAGAATAAAACTAAAATGAATGATGTAGACTAAACTTCATAACACTATATTTTGAAAATTCTAATTTAACATAAACTAAAACTTACTATACTTAATTTTGTCTTAAAATTTACTGTTTAAAACTTGCATGGAGTAACTATGAAGATATCAGAACTTAAGAGGACTGACTTAAGAGTTTGACTAAGACTTGACCCGACTTCACTCAACCTATGACTGTCTTAAAATGTCATGCTCTTTAAGAATGACAAACAAAAATCAAATTATTTCCCTTTGTTATAGAATTTGACAGTCAACCTGTCAAAATAAGTATAGAGAATTTCGATTTAAACTATTACAGAAAAATTTTAACTATTATTTGTCATGATAGTCTGTTTTCAGTTTCCAAATAGAGACAAAGTTCTGTAAATGGTTTAAATAGTAATTCAGATATGGTAAAATATTTTATTTTAATTTTTTCATCAGGCTTTACAAATAGAAAGGACTTGATTCATTAAAGGTGTTTATAGAAAATTTTATGTGTTTCATTTCTTCCTTTTAGAAATACTAAAATAAAAATGATTTTGTTAAAATAAAATTTTCAAATTTGAATTAAGCTGCAGAAATTTTTAATGTACTGTTAATTCATAAATTTTTGTAATGTTTTTATTATTGAAAAATTATATCAGAATATGTAATGCAAAATAATCACAATAATAAATCTCACATTTTTTTCCATTCCTCAAAAATTGCAATAATAGGTGAACAGAAACATTTCTGAGTTTACAAATATACTTCTGGCAGGAATATATTTGGTTCCCCTGTCTTATTTCATAAGCCAAACCTGTGTTTATCAATTGTCTTGAAACTGATTAATTTATAAATTTGTGCCATTGAAAACAGGCAGGATTTTAGTTGTTAGTCAAAGTTTAGAGTTAAGTTATCAAAAAGTAGCTTTCTCTTGGTATCTTCGGCCTCTTTTGTTTTTTTGACACTAATCTTTTTACACATGGCTTTGTGATAGAAATTAACCATTGCACCATTGTAAACAACTATTTGTATTTATCATCTTTATGAATAATTTATACAGCTGCCATACACATGTGCTATCAAATAAATATAATAATAATTCTACTAGCTGTTGTTTATTCTTTTAACAAAATATTCTACTATCCTTAATAGGTACATGCTTTTATGAAAAAGACCTATTACCACTTGCTGTGAATTTAGACCAAATATTTGAAATTTGACCTTGAACTAAGATTAAATCTTTCTAAATGATCAAGAGTTGTTTACTGAAATCAAGTAATCAAATAAGAAGTAAAAATTCCTAGTATGAAAATAAGAAGATGTGATATGATTGCCTATGATACAACTTTCCACCCGAAACCAAGTGACATAGAAGTAATCAACTATATATAGGTCACCCCACAGTCTTCAATAATGAGCAAAAACCATACTGCAAAGGAAGTTATAAAAAGGCCCTGAAAAATGTTAAACAATTCAAACTTGACAAACTAAATGTCTGATTTATGTAAAAAAATCAATAACTTGTGGTAACTAAATTCTAGACTTAATTATTTATTAGTGATCCAAAGATTTGAAGGAATCGGTCCAATTTTTTCGAGTGTAGATCAGGTTATTTTCGAGTGATATAACATGTGATCAGGTGGATTTACTGCTATTTGGCGAGTATAACAGTTTTATTCGTGACTGTTCATCTTATGAATACTTAATCTGAATGCTATACATGTTTTTAGCAAAACGATGCACAATATGTAGTAGTTCACTTACAATTATGGTTTTATATTGTCCATGTTTTTTTCGAGAGAAACATTTAAAACATCCTGGTTTTTCAACAAATGGTCCTGGTTTTCTGAAGAAAATTTGAAGAAGAAAGAAGACATTCTTGGGCTTAAAAACTGACCTTTTCTAGTTTGTTACTGTAATCTAGTGAAGGACAATATTTTATATTTTCTTAATAAGTCACAAAATCATATATATATTACTATGTTGATCAAATTTGACCCTTTTCAATTTACTGATAACTTTCTGTTTGATTTGATTTGATATTTGGTGTTTTAACGCCACTTTTAAACAACGCTTTTGGGCTATTTCGTGCAGCCAGTTTTAATTGGTGGAGGAAGCTGGAGTGCCCGGAGAAAACCACCGACCTTCGATAGGAAAACTGACAATCCTAGTCAATTAAGATTTGAGTCGAGTGCACCCGCACGAGCGGGGTTGGAACTCACAACCTCAGTGTTGACTGGCTAGTGATTACAGTAGTAACTACTTAGACCACTCGGCCACCGAGGCCCCACTTTCTGTTTGAAAACATTTTACAATAACCTTGCAGTCTTTTGAACGGAGTACAAGGACTCATAATCTTTCTAATTTCAAACCATTCTAAAAAAAAATGATGTAATTTCACTAAAATAAACCACAGATTCACTTGAAGAAAAAAAATCTCAACCGGTTATATTATTAGTTATGGTCTATGAATAACTAACATTAGCATGAAAAGAGCGATGTGAAATAGTTTTGTTGACTAATGTATTAGTGATTAACTAATAAAGCAATTGTGTCCATTGACTTGAATGAGGTAAATGTAAACAACAAACAACACCATCGCCAAATAGAAAAAACCATGACAATAAAACAGCAGTCTATACAAAATTATACAGAAATTTGAAGACTGAGAAACACGAATCACACCATAATACAACGACTTACAAAACGTAAACTGCGTATAATTGTGTTTCCATTTTGTAGATATATTCCGGAGCGTGTGCTCGAGGATCGTTCGGTAAAATTAACAAGTTCTCGATTAGAAATAATTCACCGAGCTTACATCTCTCATATATTAGAAATAAATAAGACTAGTACAACTTTACAAAAATTGAATATGCTTAAGTTTTAAGCCAAGTTTTGTTTTCATTCTATTTCTCTCATTGGTACAGAACCTTGGTAAATCATGCCGAAACATACATACACCATACCTTCGCACATATCAAATATAGATATGAGCTCATTGTCAATAACACAAAAAATATATATTGTAACAAATTGTTACATTTTGTGCTTTTTTAGATTTACATTGTAATGACAACTGAACAGATATTATTGTGTTTTTTTGCCCCACTTAGGGGCATTATGTTTTTCGGTTTGTGCGTCCGTTCGTTCGTCCGTTTGTCCGTCCGTCCGTTCGTCCGTTCATCCGTCTGTCCCGCTTCAGATTAAAGTTTTTGGTCAAGGTAGTTTTTGATGAAGTTGAAGTCCAATCAACTTGAAACTTAGTACACATGTTTTTCTATGATATGATCTTTCTAATTTTAATGCCAAATTAGAGTTTTGACCCCAATTTCACGGTCCACTGAATATAGAAAATGATAGTGCGGGTGGGGCATACGTGTACTATGGACACATTCTTGTTTCAATCTACATCTGACTTAATCACAAATTTTACAAACCTTTTTGCTTTCTTTAAATTAATACTTTTTTACCGTCTTGTTTTAAAATCAGAGAAAAGCATTAATATGTCACAATGATTTTTTTTTCAATACATTATTTTTGTTTGAACTAATGCCAGATAAGTCAAGGATTCAGTCAAAGTCATTTAAATGTAATATTTTATCGGTTGATTTAATAACACTTATGTTAAACAAATATACAAGCCACAACACGAAATTTCTTTTACCTTTACCCATAATCCAACAACATTTATATTTGGATTAACTTCCTTGTATGATCTCAAAACTATGTCTAATTTGCTAGAAACAACTCTTATAATCGAAAGTCAACATAAATATAGGAACAAAGAAACGAATCTAAACAATAGCAGATGGAGCAATACATATAGCCAGTCGTTTTTAAATTCATAATAAGCAATACTGGTGAGGAGCTATGCTTTGTGTTTATGGAATTTTACACTGCTGATTTTCAATTTGTTATTGCAGCAAATTTCATGAATTCAGAGCTGACAGATATTCATTTTCATAAAATGAAAATGATAACAGTATGTTAGCTATTCGAACATTCAACAGTTAGAAGAAATTAATTGTTATTCTTTCATAATGGCGAGAATATAAGCCAAGTGAAAAAGTGAAAGTATTTTCAATATATTACGTGTCCCACTGGGATAGATTTATTCAGACATCAGTGATGCATCTAAACACATATCTATTTTAATACCCCACTACAATGAGTAACAGCACTCGCGAAGCTCAGGAATTGTTACGCTTATTTAAATGTGTCGTCGACACAGGCACTGACGTTCTCGCTGCTTTTGCTAAAGTTAAACTTTTACCAACATTCAACGGAAATTTTAAACAATTTCTTGATGATAAAAAACATGAAATATTTCACCTCTGGCAATCTAAAAAGCTATCATGTTGTGAGTGTCCACCAGCCGGTTACAACTTTAAACGTAAGAGTCATATGGATAACTGGATATTTAAAAAGATTTATGATGATAGTGGTCCTGAGGAAAGGAGACATATTATCCGTAATAGCGGAAATGTTGTGCAAGTATGTCTACACAAATATATCACACGAAATATTGCAATTGACGAGCTTGATATTAGTGTAATATCGTTTCTTCTTCGGAATTTGTCAGTATTATCCCAAAACGAGACCAGTTCATTGGATACGATTACCACAACACGAAGTCAGATTTGTCATGCTTATTCAATGAACTGCCTTCCATTGATTTTCCTGAATACAGCATGGACTGCATTAGAGAATGTTTTAGTAGACCTGGCGGATCCTTCGTACAAAGGGATGACCCGAAAACAAATCAAGTACTTGCGCAAAGTAGATTTAGAGAAGGAAGAAATAACAGAATTGACGAAACACGTTGAGGAGCTGAATATTGTAAGTATATATATGTGCTTGATTTATTTCTAAAATACAACAAAGCTAGCTAGCAATCTTGACCTCTATAATTATGAACAAATCTTTACAATGAAAGGGTCACAAAAGTATCATAAGGTATATCGTAAGGCATACTTTAAGACTATTTCTGAAATTATGTTAACATTATAATTCATATTTTACTCACTGATGATATATCTGAAAAAAGATAAAATTTTCTCACAAAAAACTCCAATATATCAATGCAAGCAGTCTGTAAATTTTCAAGGATTTGAATTGAACACTTTAAGAGGATTTTATCACACAAACAGGAGTTGTCGTTTGTAAATTTTGTTGAGCAGTTAGTTCGACTTACCATTTGCGGGAAGGATAAAACAAATGTCAAATCCTCCCTCGTAGATACAATGCACAAATAACTAATCATTGGCATAAAAAAAGAGAATTAGATCATTAGATAAAACTAGATAATTTTGTACAACAAGGATCAAAAAGTTATTCATCATGCATATGTTGTTTAGATAAGAACAACATATCGTGGTTTGATACATCTCGATAGGTGAATGCAACAACCTCGCAAGTAAAAAAAATAAGAGGCCAAAGGTATCAAAGGGACATTCAAAGTCATAAGTCGAAATTAATTTGACAACGCCATGGCCAACAGACAAACAGACAAACAACTGTACACAAAACAACAAAGAAGACCAAAGACTGGGCAACACGAAGCCCACCAAAACAATGGGGTGATCTTAGGTGTAAATAAAGTCACAATTTCAAAAAGTTGAAAAAGATATTCAATAGGCTGTAAAAAATCCAAATTTCATCATACATTTACGTAACAAGCATACATGTTTGTTAAAAAATAAAGAAGCTACTAAAAGACAAAAAAATCACGAACATCATCAAAAGATGGAGATCATCTGAAGTGCTCCGGAATGGTATGTAGATCCTGTTCCACTATTGGCACCCGTAATGTTTCTCATTCATGTACATAGTAAGTATAAATATCGGTTATAAATGATGTGAAAAACTTCAAATCTCTGAACTCATTTCTTTAAGCATGATCGGTCATTCAAATTCACAATTGGTTGGGCCTTGCAAAGGTGCAAAATAATAAATCAAATGATACGTCCAAAAGTCATATGTCTGGGAAAGTCCTTTTGGCATACTTATAAAAATTAATTAAGTTTCTCATACTAAGTTCACATTCAGCTTAACAATGCTGTGGAAAAGTTTCAAGCTGCAAATTCATTAATTAGGGCATACTTGGTCATTAAAATTTACAATTGGTTTGACCTTGCAAAGGGGAAAATATTGATTAAAATGACACGTCCAAGAAGTGCTAACTGATAAGTTACCGAAAGTTACTAAAAGATAACCTGATTTCCAAATTGTCGGGAAATTGTATGTTTCTTTATGATGGTTTACGTCAACTTCTGCAAAAAAAAAAAAACAAATACCCTGATAGGATACTGGCTCAACAGACTCTTTTACGTCATTTGGTCTTATAACCAATCATACCACATGTTCGTTTTTATTTTGAGAAATGCAAGCAACTTACATTTAAGCACTTTACCTGGTTCTTTAATGATACAGTATGGGAAATGTTATTGTTAAATTCTGATATCAACAACGTTTAGAATTGATATTTTTGTATAGACAAACGTTCAATAGGTTATGGAATTCGATTATTTTCTGAGACGAAGGTAGTTTACATTAAATTCCGAATACATCTGCTTATATAGATGCAGGGTGAAAACTAAAATGAAAATGCAGGTACACTGTCCTTAACATTAAACTTTGCTGAAAAAAATGTTCAGAAAATGTCTTGCTAACATTATCATAGTGATCTAAATTCATACCAAGTCGCTTCCGGTTGTGTTACTGCCCTTCAAGATTGGATACAATTTGGTTTACAATATTGTTTAAGTACAGGTATTGCATGAAGTATTTGACATACAGAAAGTAAACAACGGTATAATCAAAAATGGATTTACAAATTGTGAAAATCAGATCTTAAAAGCCAAAAAAGAAATAATCCAGAACACAGATAAGAAATTAGGTATGATAAAATAATATTCATACAACTATCTGTTTTGTGGGCAAAACAAATTACTATATATTACAGAAGATTGTTATATAAAAGAAAGGCAGATGAACATTTTTTCCACTATGATGTAAACATAACGCGCGTCTGTCATACCAAATTATAAGCCTGATTTCGTTAATGAGTTTTTGCATTTGAAATAACAAATAAAGACCATCAAGTAGCTATTCAGCACATGTTGTACAGGAATTCAAATCTGTTAATACATAAGATCATCTTATGTTTGTTTTAAAACAACGACGAATAACTCTATGAATTATACTCCCAAGTTAGAATTATAAAAGTCAGCACATTTATGCATATAAAAAAAAGAAGATGTGGTATGATTGCAATTGAGACATCTCTCCACAAGAGACTAAATGACATAGAAATTAAAACAACTATAGGTCACCGTACGGCCTTCAACAATGAGCAAAACCCATACCGCATAGTCAGCTATAAAAGGCCCCGAAATGACAAATGTAAAACAATTCAAACGAGAAAACTAACGGCCTGATTTATGCACAAAATAAAGAACGAAAAACAAATATGATACATAGCAATAAACTACATCCACTGAATTACAGGTTCCTGACTTGGGACAGGCACATACAGAATGTGGCTTGGTTAAACTAGTTTGAAGGAGCCAACCCTCCCCTAACCTGGGACAGTGGTGTAACAGTACCACATAAGAACAAACAAACTATAAAAATCAGTTGAAAAGACCCCCAAGGGTGACTGGGGAATGGAAGTATGGTCACCATTGGTCTTCCTCCGACCGGCAGTAAAACCCTAGCCAAAGTGGGGCGTCCTTTTGGCTGTGCGGGATGTACAAATTTGCAGCCACGTCCGGTCAGAATGGGGACGTTAAATCCGATGCCTCGTGTAAAGAAAGTGCCAAGCTCTTTGCACGTTAAGAACCCTTGCAACAACTCTTTGAGGGGTCCGTAGGTGACCTGTTGCAATGCCAAATTTCGGTCCCTATCCAATATACCCTCATTATCCGTGGCCGTCTAAATTTCTCAGATCTAAATCCCGGACACCTCTATCACAGAACTTACCTATTGTATTTATTGTTAATTTGTTCTTGTTCTGAATATGCATGAAATATTTGCCACTGGACGTTAAGCAACCAATAATCAATCAACCAGTTGAAAAGAGGATTATCGATTTGTCCTGAAGAATAACAATATTTCGACTTAGGAGGACACCATTCAAGTAATATAGAATAAATGAACTTTAAAACAAAACATCCACTGTTTTCATAACGGACGAAAAATTGAACACGATCAAAACCTTTTTAATTAACATAAGCGAAAATGAGAAAACAGGTACACCAGGTTCAGTTAAAGATTACAATGTCAGTTATAACTTGTGTCGTCTTGGGTCCGGAAAATTAATTGTGTGTTTTAGCTAAAGATGTAATAATTCTTACACGGTTTATCTTTACTTATTTTTAATCAAGAATAAAAGCAATAGCAGTGGAGTTTTCAGAAAAATCATCTGTGTTCAAAACGTGTTTGATTTATTTCCTGCTTGATGTCGTCGCAACGAATATCATGTTTTTACACGGCTGAACATTCTTGTTTGGTTTCTTACTTGCTGATAAATAAGCATAGATCATTGGTTTCATGTTTCGCGTGCGGATTAGAAAAATACTTATATTGTCGAAAAACTCATATGGCCCGGCCCTTTCATAACCAAACGAGTATATACTCATATGGCCCGGCCCTTTCATAACCAAACGAGTATATACTCATATCGTCTGACCATACACGTATAGTTGGACCATATGAGTATACTCATAGGTCATAACCATATACCCGTATGGTTCTAATACTTGTATGGTCTGGAACATATTGCAATCGTTTAATAATTTTCTATACATTATCGTGACCGAGAAACTCGTTTTATATGACTTAACATGTAAAAATCATTATGTACATTTTTTGTGTGATAAATATAGTAATTAAAAAAAGAATTTTTGATATATGTTGTTTACGGGATTTCCAGAATTTTGAAATCGTGTGTAGAAAAATCCAATGAATGATGTCATTAGAAATTAATTGTAGAACAGTGTGCAGCAGCATTTCTTTAACAGGAGAGACTATCCGTTATAAGCTTTTTTTATTTTAACGTCGATAGATTGAGAAAAAGAGTAAAAATACTTGCATCATACAATTATATGATTCTAATGTCAGTAAACTTTTATGCATTTCTGTATCAGCATAATTGATATCTTTTCGTTAATCTTTTCAAAGCTGAAATGACAGAAGAAATACATCATCTGAAAGCAACGATTAGTATACTAATAGAACAAAATCCAAGAAGAAATGAATCTAAAAAAACAAAAAACACACAATTATGAACACATAGGTAAATATCAGGGGCGGATCCAGATGAGGGCGTAATGGGCGTACGCCCCCTTTAAAAAAAAAAAAAAAAAAAAAAAAAAAAAAAACTATCGTAATCTGCTTATTTTGTATTGAATATGGCAATTAATGCATTTCACAGTTATTTTATGTTTTTTAGCAAAAGAAAGGTCCAAAAAAATTTTAGGCGAAAGATTTGATTCTACGCCCCCTCTTTCATATATCCTAGAAACGCCCCTGAATATTGTAAAGCAAAAGCGTTACAACATATGTAGGTTATAATGAGGTCAATCATATCTCTATATCAGACGTGATTGATTCATTAGGACCATCCATACAAATTTTATTACAAGCGTGTTTTTTTTTTAGGAACAAATGATGATTGTTTCTCTTCAATCGTAAAGATGTTACCAATATCAAAAACAACAAATGGATTTTGACAAAATTAGTCAATCGCTCATAACCCAATCTAGACAATTCTTGGTAATTTTTCAGGAGTTTATCAACAACGGTGTCACATTAAATACCTCGATTATAAGTGTATGACTGTTGATTTAATATTGTGTTCGTTTAAGTGTTAAAAATAACTGTTTTAAGTGCTTTTAAATGATATAAAAAGAATTAACCCCCTTATATGAATTATTTAAATAGTAAACTTAACAAAGCATCCCCAAATTTCCTTCGTCAATGCAAAACAAGCATTGTACTTGGAACTAGTATAGCCGGGTAAAATAGAGTTCAATCAAGAAGGAATATTTCGCTCCTTAAACTTTTATTTTAGCAGTCCGGCAAGACCGAACAACAAACCCCAAACCAAATGTAAAGTAACATACAAACAATAACAATTTATATAAGCACAAGCAATTAAAGGATTGAGAAGATTAACATATGCCAAATGGAAATAACAATAGATTAAAAGAGTAATTAGTGTCCGACACGTATTCGTAAGTTATTGTCCAAACTGTCACAGAGAATAAATAATTAAATGAATAGAGTAAATGAATTTAAGTCCTTTGTCCAAGATTATGACACATAATCCGTGTAAAACACTTATGCCTTAATTTACGACAAAGTTCAGAATAATAAAATAAATGCAAAACAAGAATATACATTAAAACAATTGAATTCATAAAATGTTGTTTAAAAACTAATTTCATTGCACAGTCCAAATTGTCCGGTCATATATTCCCGCGGCCCTTGAAGACACGACCCGGGTCTTACTGTTCATCTGAAATTGTTCCGAAAGTTTCGTCTGTGGTTGTGGCGTCCTCTGTAACTATAGTTTTGGTTTGAATAGTTATCTCTCTTGTTTTTTTCCGAAAATTGTCCAATTCGTCTTCTAGTTTGGTGATTCGATCCCGCATATGTTCTTTATCGCGTTGTAGATTAAATTGCTTATCGATTGCTTCACATCTTTGATCGTACAGCCCAAAATTAGATTCTTCAAGGTTATCAATGCGTTCACGTAATTTTTCCATTTCCTTTTGGTCATCTGCGTTTTGTTTTTGAAGTTTTTCTAGATTGCTAACAACACTGGTATGCTTTTGATTTAATTCTTTAAATTTCTTTTCATTGTGTACACTTTTAATTTTGAATTTAACTCTCTCGGAATTCACTCGGTCGTGCCTGAGTCTTACGTTATCTATGAATTCGTTGTTATATTCTAAGGTTGGAAAGAAGTCCATCAGTTCTATGGTATTAAGTTCCGCACAAGGAAACATTGACATAGCAATCTGTTCTTTGAATTTTCTCATTCTTTCTGCGTCACGACGTAACTTAGATTTCGATTTAACCTTAACAACTTTCACGTCCGGTTGTTTGTGAAAATTACACATTCTGGCGTAATGTCCAAAACTTCTGCACTTATAGCAAAATGACGTTTTTGCTATACATTGTCTAAAATGAAATTGATTGTTCACAGTCTTTCCACAAAACTTACATAGGTAGTTATCCATATGTTGAAAATTTCTTATCTGAAAGGTAGTTCCATGATCAGACATCTGGTATCTCCAGTCTCGGCCAAAATTTCAGGTTCTCCGCGTATCCATTTTTCTGTTTGCTGGGGGATCAGCTTCACAGGTAGAACAAGGTACCCGATAGATGCGTTGCCCGGATGTCCTAATATCAGATATAGCCGGGTAAAATGGCGTTCCGGCTAAATGGAAATCAAGAAGGAATATTTCGCTCCTTAAACTTTTATTTTAGCAGTCCGGCGAGACCGAACAACAAACTCCAAACTAAATGTTAAGTAACATACAAACAATAACAATTTATATAAGCACAAGCAATTAAAGGATTAAGAAGATTAACATATGCCAAATGGAAATAACAGATTAAAAGAGTAATTAGAGTCCGACACGTATTCGTAAGTTATTGTCCAAACTGTCACAGAGAATGAATAATTAAATGAATAGAGTAAATGAATTTAAGTCCTTTGTCCAAGATTATGACACATAATCCGTGTAAAACACTTATGCCTAAATTTACGACAAATTTCAGAATAATAAAATAAATGCAAAACAAGAATATACATTAAAACAATTGAATTCATAAAATGTTGTTTAAAAACTAATTTCATTGCACAGTCCAAATTGTCCGGTCATACTAGGAATAACCTCACAGTGTTCAAACCACACTTACAGAAACATTTATTTTCTTTTAAGTCGTCTTTCATATTTCTTGTTTATTCGCGTACCAAAATGACATGTAGCATATATTAAACAGAAAGTTCCAAGTATAGTATGGACGAAACGAGTAGTGAAGAAGTGTATGCTCAACAAGAAGCAAAACCAAAGAGAAAGTCTGAAGGTATGTTTGTAATTACATCTCATTAATTTGTATATCATCATAGAAACTTCACATATAAGATTTATTTGAATTAAGTTAACAGGACAATTAAAACTTGTAGCAGGAAAATTTACTGAACAATTCAAATTATCATGGACTGATAAAAAAAAGATTTTTCAAATTGATTTATTTAGTATCATCATATACTATTTATACAATGTAAACATAACTTTGATTATACATGCTAATTATGACACATGAAAGGTGAACGTTAGTTGTCGGTATTGTAAATCTGTTCTTAAACGAACTTTATATAACAAGCTAAGGGAAACACAACATGAATTATTTACCATAAATGAGAAACACAACATACATTTTTTACCATGAATGAGAAACACAACATACGTTATTTACCATGAATGAGAAACACAAATGTTTTTTTTTACCATGAAATATATGTACATGCGATCGCAAGGAGCGTTGATTTTCGGGTCCTAATAAAGGAAAATATACAGAAAAAGAAACATCAACGACACAGCAACCAAACAAGACAAAACCTGATGACTATGTAGTTTATCAATAGACAAAAAGAAAATGTAAGGTATAACAATGAATATATCTTTATTGCAGATATAAGGCACATTCGCGCTATCTGTCATGTCGAAGGTGAAGAATTAGATGAACAGTCAGCTGTGCAGTTGTTGCCGGAAAACAAACATAGTTTTCCCCCAGACATGTGCTTTAAGATTAATAAAGCCGAGAAAAGGTGCCTCCTTCTAGAGTTAAAAGCAACTTCAAAAAATTATCAAGACATAGAATCGTTTCGAATGGCTTTGAGGGTATTGATTATTCAAATTGCTCTTGCTGGGAAAATTGTTATCAACAAACCAAGTACAATAACTTTGAAGTTGATATTCAACTAGAGGCTCTCAAGAGCCTGTGTCGCTCACCTGATTCTACTTTGGATTTGGAAATCATGTAAAAATAGATTAAAATCATAACAGATACCCTAATAATGAGTGATAGGCCAAATTTGGTTTAATATTGGTCCTGTAATTTAATAAAAAATCCTGGTGGCCATCTTGAACAGTAAATCGGCAACAAAGTAGCAACACTTCATCAGCACCTCATAAGAAACATTTATGCCATGTTTTGGTTTCATTCCATTCAGTGCACCTCTAGAAGAAGCATTTGTATGTATTTCCCATAGGGTCTTATGTTAAAGGAAGTCCCCCCATTGGCGGCCATCATGGACGAAGGATCAGCTTCAAAGTAACAAAACTTTGTTAGCACCTCATAAGGAACATTCATGCCATGTTTGGTTTCAATCCATTCAGTATGTGGTTCTCTAAAAGAAGACATTTGTATGTATTTCCCATAGGGTCCTATGTTAAACTAAGTCCCCCGCTGGCGGCCATCTTGGATAATGGATCAGCTTCAAAGTAACAACACTTGGTCAGCACCTCATAAGGAACATTCATGCCATGTTTGGTTTCATTCCATTCAGTGGTTCTCTAAAAGAAGACATTTGTATGTATTTCCCATAGGGTCCTATGTTAAACTAAGTCCCCCGCTGGCGGCCATCTTAGATTATGGATCGGCTTCATAGTAATAACACTTGGTCAGCACCTCATAAGGAACATTCATGCCATGTTTGGTTTCATTCCATTCAGTGGTTCTCTAAACGTAAAAGACGTTTGTATGTATTTCCCATAGGGTCCCATGTTAAACTAATCCCCTGCTGGCGGCCATCTTGGATTATGGTTCGGCTTCAAAGTAACAAAACTCGGTCAGCACCTCATAAGAAACATTCATGCCATGTTTGGTTTCATTCCATTCAGTGGTTCTCTAAAAGAAGACATTTGTATGTATTTCCCATAGGGTCCAATGTTAAACTAAGTCCCCTGCTGGCGGCCATCTTGGATTATGGATCAGCTTCAAAGTAACAACACTTGGTCAGCACCTCATAAGGAACATTCATACCATGTTTGGTTTCATTCCATTCAGTGGTTCTCTAAAAGAAGACATTTGTATGTATTTCCCTTAGGGTCCTATGTTAAACTAAGTCCCCCGCTGGCGGCCATCTTGGATAATGGATCAGCTTCAAAGTAACAACACTTGGTCAGCACCTCATAAGGAACATTCATGCCACGTTTGGTTCCATTCCATTCAGTGGTTCTCTAAAAGAAGACATTTGTATGTATTTCCCATAGGGTCCTATGTTAAACTAAGTCCCCCGCTGGCGGCCATCTTGGAAAATGGATCAGCTTCAAAGTAAAAACACTTGGTCAGCACCTCATAAGGAACATTCATGCCATGTTTGGTTTCATTCCATTCAGTGGTTCTCTAGAAGAAGTTCAAAATGTAAAAAGTTAACTACGACGACGGACGACGACGACGACGACGACGGACGACGGACGCCAAGTGATGAGAAAAGCTCACTTGGCCCTTCGGGCCAGGTGAGCTAAAAATGATCTCACGGAAGGTAATGTTATTGTTATGAATTATCTAACCAATAAAGTACCAGTCTAAGAAAATTTAAGAGGATGCATTTCTTTAACAACAACGAAACATTAAATTACCTTCCCACTTCGTCCGGGGAAAAAAAATGTTAAGCTTCTGATGTCGAAAGATGAAAATGGGTAATTTTGTCTCTTTTCAATTTTTCAAAAGTTTAAAATTCCTGTTTATATTCATTGCTCATCCACCCCATTTCCCATTTTTGGAAGTACTTTTATGACAGCAATATTATTCATCTTTAGACATATATCTATTTATAATTTCAAGTTTTGTTTTTGTTAACACAAGCAGTTTAACAAAGTTTTGATATACCAACACTTAATTATAAATCTCATGAATAAATATTATCCCTGCAACTTTATAGGCTTTCAAAAAACTAATCACAGCCACATGTTCTGATGTTCCTTAAACTGCAAGATTATTAATCATCAGGTGTAGTAAAAAGGACTATATTTCAATCTTTACAACATTCAGTGAAGTAAAAAGCTATCATCGACATAAATGACCTTAATTACCAACCCCATCTTAAGAATTGACAGCATTTACATTAAATTTCTTTGTGCTGACATTCGAATAAGCTTCACTCACACTTACATATATATTAAAGAATTACCTCTAGTATCAAGTTATTCTAATCTATTTTCGAACTTTTCCCTTTCTATTCCCGGAGTCATGTGTCGATCTAAGAATATCGAGTAAAAAATTGAACGTCGTATTGAGCAAAAATCACAGGATGACAATAACCGTACATCGATTGATTTTATGGGAAATGTCTACTCTAATCCGTCTTAGTCCTTCATTGTTCAATGAAGATTACAATGAACGGTAAATCTGAGGATATTGGATACCAAAGCTTCACAAAATTCCGTACAAACAACGGTACATTGCCGTCTCATCTGCATGTTCTACAAAGGAATTGTCCATTAGATTGACAAAACATCTGTCTGCAGTGAAAGAGGGTTTTCAAAAATACAATGTATTGTGAAACTGTTTACTCGGGTAGTGGTTTTTTAAAAAACACTAAAGAACTTTTGGATTATTTTAAATCTCGATCTTTCTCTAAACGTAATTCTATCAAAACTTTAAATCTTCATCCCTGTTTACCACCATTCCCCTATCAAATTGAAACAAATCGTCCGCAAGAAATCATCCTCAATGTTTTTCAATCTAAAATAGGTTAGCATACGCTATAAATTATAGCTTTGGGATACCATGCGGCATATTTTGTTTACAGTGAACAAAAAGGTAAAACATGCTGCACAGAGGAATAAGTGATCAGTATGCTGGAGTTTCTTATTGACAACATATTTGTTGAATTTAGAGGGAAACAAAATGTAGGCATTCCTATAAGAACGAACTATGAGCTTCTCCTTGTTGACCTCTTCTAATTTTCATAATAGTCGGAGTTCCTTCAGACACTTGTCAAAACAAGAAAATCAAAGAAACCAGATCAGTTAATGTCACATTCAGATATATTGATGATGTTCTTTCCATTAACATTCCAAACTTTTCTAAAGGGGTTCCATTAATATCTCCTCTAGAACTATAAATTAAAGAAACAACAAATACGGCTTCTCCAGCCTTATTTTTAGATGTATACCTCAAATTTGACATAAGCGGTCATATCAGTGCCAGAATCTATGACAAACGAGACGATTTTAATTTTGAAATTATCAATTTCCCCCAACTTAGCAGCAATATACCAACTTCACCTGCATATAGGATATAGATTTCCCAACTCAGTCGGTATTCAAGAGATTGCAGCTGCTACTTAAACTTTATAAAACGTCTCCAATGTCTGAGCAGAAAGTCGACGAACCAGGTTTATGTTCGTTTCGTCCTTTTTCTGAAAAAAAGTTCACCAGAAAATACCCAGACTTATACGATATTTTACTTTTTAGGCGGAAATTTCTTCAACCTGGAGCAATTTAACTATATTCATTACTTTTGACATTTCAAGCAATATAAAGAACGCCAAACAAAGTGAAGTTTCTTAATATTTATTTGTTTCGTGTATGCTATAAATATACGTCACAAATTCAATACCACATTAACCTATATCTAAAATGACACGTTTGCACCCCACACGTTCGCCCCCTGGGTTCGTTAGCACCCTATTTTTTTTTATTCAAATACTGGTTGAATTATTTGATGTTTTTTTATGTATTAATCCAAATATTTAAATTTTCATTAATAAAAATTCGGGAATTTTTAAATGAAATATTTTTTTTTTGTGATTTGATGATTAATGATTAAGTGTTAATTAGGTATAATTACTATTATTTAGTATTTACATAGCCAAATTTGGTATCGTTCTGTGATTGAAAATCATGATTGTTGTTATGACTAGCATTGATGTAAATACAACATGTAGTTAGCTTGGTATGATTAAAATCAAAGAAGATTTGGTATCTTCCGCCTTTCTTTTTAATACAAGTCTTTAATCAAGGATTTGTATAGTCTTACTATACAAATCCTTGCTTTGATGAATGAACTTTGTCTTAATCTTCATACATATCTTTTATTCATGATTCATTGTGTCAAAATAATTAATAAAACACTAAAGGAAACAATACATTTTAAGAATATTACTTTATTTTGAGGAAACAATACAAAAAACTGATTAAAAATGTATTCAACACAAAACCTATGAAAAGGGTGCGAACTGACCCAGGGTGCAAACGTGTGGGGTGCGAACGTGAATGGGGACGAACGTGAATGGGAGCGAACGTGATTTTGGGCGAACGGACCTGGATTCGGAAGATACCAAGACCTTGTTGATAAATATTTCGTATCAACTTCACAAATAAAACACGATGGTCTTGAAGTATAGATTCTAGGTTCTGACGTTGTTTATCATCTTAGTAACGTGTTATAGTATTCTGTTATTTGTCTTTGTAAATTATTATTTTTACTGTTTAGTCTATTTTTGGCAATATGCATTTGACGTGGCTCGGTACTTATACATCCCGTCATTGTGTTATTGTGCTATGGTAAATTTTTGTATTCTTGTCTTCAATTTTTGCTAATGTGCTTTGTCTATATGCCTTTTTGTTTATCTTTGTCAACATATTTGTTTGTTTTTATAGTGATTAAGATTATAACACAATGTAAATGTTGACTGCTGTACCCCTATTTTTGACATTTTTACCTATTATGTCTGTTTGTTTTGTTCACACATCGATGTCAATATAATGAAATTTTATTCGACAACCATACAAGTGAGAGGTTTAGCTAGCTATGAAACCAGGTTTAATCCACAATTTTCTACATAAAAAAATGCCTGTACCAAGTCAGGAATATGACAGTTGTTATCCATTGGTTTGATAATTTTGAGCTCTTGATTTGTATTATTTACTTAGGGAATGATGATTTCAAATGTCGAAAAAAAAAGAAAAAAAAAAAAAAAACTCACCGTGTAATAAATTCAAAACGCACTCGACGACGTTTGTTTTTACTTTTTTCAATTACCAAATTTTACTAAGTTGATGATATTGTTTTATATCGAGGAGAGAAATTAATGCTTGACATTGCTTCTTGTTTACAAAGTACGTGCCATATTTATTACGTTGAATATATTGTGTATACAACATAATTTTTATTGATAAAGTTATAAATATATTGATAAAATTTTTAGTTTGATTTCCACCAACTAATGATGAAATATATAAAATTAAAATGCGGTATAAATCTTCAGGGTCGAAATTTAGAAATCACTTTGGCTATTATCCGA